GCTTTGGTCTCCTTGCCACCACATCCCGGGGCGGGGGGGGGCGGTGTCCCTTGGGCCCCCTGACGAGCCCTGATGCCGTTTCCCGTGAGGGGTCCGCACCTGCCTGCTTTGGGGTGGTTCCCACTTAGGAGCTCCTGTTGTGCCTAGAGCCAGGTGATGGTGATGGCAGATGTGACCGGGACGTGACAGGTCTGAGTGACGTCCCGTGAGCTGCATCTTCATCTCCAGTCTCCTCCGCTCTGGTCTTTGGCCAGCCTCGTACTGAGGGAGCTCTTGATAGGTGGGAAGGGCTTGCTCCCCCTTTGCTAACAGGAGCCCTGTGTGGGGGGCGCCCACAAGCACACGAATGTGCTCGTGAGTTTGAGTCTTCAACGAAAGAGAGCCCCGCCAGGTGGTGACCGTACCTGAGCTGGCTCAGGTTCCTCTGAAGCGAAGGCTGTGGGGAGAGAGGAGGCTGGTGAGAACCGGGGTCCCGACTGTCCCAATCAGCCAGAGCAGAGGGAGGGCCGGGTCTCGAGGGCAGAGGGGTGATAGGAGCAGCAGCGTCACGTGTGGCCACATGGAGCAGATGTGTGACGGGCTGATAGCCTCCCTTCTGAGCCAGGGACCCGGGGACGGACGCTCACCTTGCTGGGGGTGGCACTGAGCCCTCGTTCCCCTGCCGTAACCTCAGGAAGTTGGTTTTGTGGAGGGTCTCGCGATTCTGACTCTGGAACCGGTGCGGTCACAAGGCTTCAGGGACCCCGAAGGCGCCTGGGATCTTGTGGGTGCTCGTGAGCGCTCGGCAGGGGCCAGTTCCTGTTAGGACAGAGCCCGCTCGTGTGGTGGAACTGGAGAGAGGTCGGGGGAGGATTTCATCTGGCCGTGTCTTACTAGTAGGACGGGGCCAACTGGACACTCTCAAGGGGAGAGTCCGTGGGAGAGAACTGACTCCAGGGAGAGAAGGCAAGGTGGCATCCGGGGCACGTTGAGAGGCGGTACGGGCAGGCAGCGGGAGGCCGAGGCCGCTGGAGCCAGAAGCACAGAAGGTGGGTGACCCCAGCTGCCCCAGCAGCCCAGTGATCCTCTGAGTGCTGAAAGGGTGGGGCCAGAGGCCTGGGCCTTGAGGGGCAGGGACTGGTTAACTACCCGCTTTCACTAGCGCCTGGGAGGTGGGAAGAGTCCTGATGGTCTGGTCAGAGAGGTCGTGCTTGGGGAGGGGGCCATTTCTTGCAACGTAGGGGCGGTGAGACCTGAACGGGTGGAGGGTAGAGATGCTCCCGTTGGCATTTTGGAGCTGTTCTGGGACAGGGTTTCTCCCCAGCCCTGCTGCCATTCGGGGCATCCTGGGCACCGCGGGGGCGAGCAGCATCCCTGGCCCCCACGCACTCAGTCCCAGGAGCACGCCTGCTTGTGATAATCTCAGACGTCCCCAGATACTGTGCAGTGTCGTCTGGGGGCAAGATCACTCTAAATGAGACACCTGTCTGATGTCTACTCTTTTCAGCCTGGTTCCCGGTGTGTCCCTGCCGCTTGTTCCCCTGGTTTAGTTCTCGTTTCTCGTAGTGGGAACTAGTCTGACGCCTGTGGGGGGGGTCATGGTGTTGGGAGACTCTCTGGTCGAGTTCGTTCTGTTTTCAGGTTTCGCATCTGGTCGAGCACCTTGACCGGTGGTGCGCCCTCCTCACAAGCAGAAACTCACCCAGAGTACCTCACCAGTGACACCCTTCCTAGAGCACCTGCTGGGAGCTGGGCCCGAGCTTTGTCCCCCAGGTCCAGCCCTTTCCTCTGCAGGGCAGACCGAGGTTTAGAAGGGCAGGGGACTTGCCCAGGGACCCCTAAGACGAGCCAGAGCTGGGAGTCCCGTGCTCTTGGTGAGCCAGGAGAGCCCTTGTAGGGAATGGCAGGGATCGGGGCCAGGCCCAAATGTGTACATTTTGTCCCTCAGTGAGGTGGTGCTGTCGTCACAGGGTGACTGTCTCCATCACAGTGTCACACCCTGTCAGAATTGTGAGTAGCGTTTTCAGCAGCAGGTCACTTGTTTGAGGCTCTTGCCGGGTACCAGGGTGTGTGTGGCGGGGGGTGGGGGGGGGAGGAGCTTACAGCGGAAGGCTGCAGGCATCGGGAGTTAATGCCAGGCACTGGGGGTGTCCTGGGGTTCTCTCCTGAATGTGTCACTCAACCCCTACAGTGGTCGGGAGGGGGGGTGATCTCACTTTGCTGGCAGGAGGGAAGCCTGAGCTGCTGGGGGCAGGGCCGGCAGAGGCAGGTTCTGGGGTAAGGGCTGAGTCCCAACAGTTGCCTTCCGGGTCTTTTCTTCTGTTGCAGTGGGAGGACCAGAAGTGGGGTGGCTCCCTGGCGTCTGGGCCGGTGCTGTGTGTTCCTCCTCGGACTGCTTCCCTTCCTACGGGGAAACAGGACATACTTAGGGACACAGGGTCCCAGTGTGACCGCACCAGAGGAGCAGGAAAGTGCGGGCATGGGCTCTGGGTTGCGTGTCTTTAAGTTGAAAGGGCTGTTGCTAAACAACCAGGATCAGTCCTGGGTCCTCTGCTTCTCGCTCTCCAGAGCTAAGCTAAGCTCTGTCGCACTGCTGCCTTACTGGTGGCTGTCTCACCAGGCACGGTGGCACTTTCTGAAGCCTGCGAGCGTGCTGCCGAGGGGCAGAGCCTGGAGTGGCTGGCCTGGGCCAGGGGAAGCTGCCGAAGATTTACTTTCTGGCAGAAACAGCACGCGGCTGCCCTAAAGTACACAGAGCTGGAGCGGGGCCGTGCTCCAGAGCAGGGTTCGGTCTCAGTGGGTGGGCAAGGGGGAGAGTCCACCAGGGCCTGGTGCCCGGGTTACCCTTGCAGAGCCCCTTCCGAGAGGAGGTCGGCAGGAGGGCACGGACGGCCTCTCCCTGGCTTTCTGGGTGGTGGTATTGCCCATTCCCCCTCAAGAACCTGGCTCTCGGTCACCTGGGAGAGCCAGGAGGTCCCCTTGGCCGTCTGCGGGGTTCAGGGGCTGTGGGGGGCCCCTGACTTTCCGCTTCTGCTGAGTAATGACTCTCGTGCGCTTAAGAGCAGGGAAGGGCTGGAGGGGGAACCGCACAGTCAGCCGTCCGCTTCGTCTGCAGGGTCCCGTGTGTGAGCACCCGTTGACACCTGAGAGCCACACGCTGCCAGGTGAGCGTGTCTAGGCCGCCCCGGGATGGCTGCTGGGGTGAACGGTCTCACACTCGGCGCCAGGCGTGCATGCACATCCGTGTCGACCGGTCAGGGTTTTGCTGCCCGGGCAGCAGTGGAGCCGTGCCTGGCCGGGCCCAGCTGGGCCTGCTAAACGCACTGTGGTCTCTGAGGCTCAGAGTTTGGGCCTTTGTGCTGGGGGTCTGGAGGGGCCCTACGCAGGACCTTCCGGAACCCGTTGGCACCTTCTGTCTGCGGACCAGGGAAAGTATGCCCTCGGAGCAGGAGGAGAGGAAGTAGAAAGTCCGAGAGCAGCTAGCGCTGAAGCCTGGAGCTCTCTTCCCCCACTGACCAGCTGTGCCTGTCGGGGCAGGTCCCCTAGAGCCTGCAGCCGGGAGACCTGGAGTCCTGTTGTTTCCGCAGCGAGGGACATCTCTCGGAACTTATGGTTTTATAGACCGTGAGCTTGCAGAACATTGCAAAATGGTCACCAAGGTCCCTAGGTGCTCTTTCCCAGCCAGACTCCCCAGGCTTACATTTTGCCCCATTTGTGCGTCCCCTCCCATACTCTGCGTCCATCTTTTGTGAAGTATCGGGGAGTGAGCAGAGCCCTGTGTCCCTTTGTGAACAAGAATATTCTCTGAAATCAGCACAGCACAATAAAACGAGAGCACAGCGTTGGTGCCTTTTTACCATCCAGTCCACAGGGCAGTCTAGGTTGTCAGTTGTGTGGGTGATGGCATTTCTGGTCTTTTCTCCTTAATGTCTGATTTTGAAATTTAAATAAGGGCTGGAACCAAGACTGGTCAGACGAGTTCCTTCCTTCCTTCCTAGGCCTGCCGCTGGTGAAGGATTGGGTTGCTTGGAAGGATACCTGCTTATGACCTTGCCGTTTTGGCTGGAGGCGTGCTAGATAGAGGCTGGTGTGTGGCTCAGAAAGTTAGGTTTTGTTTTGTTTTGGTGAAGAATGCTCGAGGTCTCTTTTTCCTGCATGAATTTGCGTTTTCACAGCAAACCCTTGTTCGCTACTGTGTGGAAGGGGTGGGCCGGCACGCGGCTCCGAGGCGGCTCCTCCTCCGGGGTGCCAGCCGGCCTGGGGGCCTGCAGCCACTCATCGGCTGGGCGCCGGGCCCTGCGAGGGCGGGCCGTCCTGAGTCCTGGCTTGCTCTGGGCAGCGCCCTGGGCCTCTGGGGAGGCCTCCCTCCCCTGGGAGCGTTTGGAGGTGGGAAGGAGCCTGGCCTGGCTCTGAAGGGTACTAGGAGACACGGACTTAAGTTAATGAGGCCTAAATGGAGGCCTCCCCCTGCTGCTTGATCAGCACGTTCCCTGAAACTTGCCCCTTACGGAGCTGCCTCGGCCAGATGTGCCTGCCCGGTGCCCCCCTCCCTGGACCGTGGCGGCCGGCTTGCGGGCATTTTGAGGCTGGCACTGGGTACCTGTCTCGTGGTGGGAATGGTTTCTCACGCACCGTGCGTGAGTTGCCTGTTCTCAGAGAACAGGGACGGTAGGAACGAGCCCAGGGCGGGCACGCGGGGGTTTGTCCTGGGGTGGAGGATGGGGCACCCTGTCTGGCAGCCCTTCTTGGTTGCTCCGGAGTGCATTTGTCTTCAAGTCGCGCTCAGCTGCAGACGCTGGGACCGCGGAGCCCCGCGTCCCAGATGCGGACTGAGCCTTGGCCACCCGCTGGCATCTGAAGACCAATCAGGTGGCATCCAGGTCCCACTCTGAGGGTGACAGCGGTCATGCCCCCTCTTCCTGGGGGACGCCAGCAGCACAGAGCCGCCACCGCTGCAGTTGAAGCCCCTCCTCTGCCGAACCCGCTCTCTGGGTTCGTGGGGGGCCCGAGCGGTGCCTGAAGGGGCCTGTGGGTCTTGGAGATACGTGTGAGCTCTGCCCCAGTAAGGGCTGGAGTAGCTGTAGCACGCTGGCCTGTCCTGGGACGTGCCCCAGTGCCTCAGTTTCCAGGCCTGGCCAGCCCGGGGGCATTGGGAACGGTGGACACCACCCTGTGGCCTGTTGGCGTTCTAGACCCTGCTAGAGGTGGGGTGTGCAGAAGAGGCAGGTAGGTGATAGTGCGATTCCTCTTGAAGGTTCCAGCCTGGGCTGCCTTGGGGCAGGAAGTATGGGCCAGGGTTTCAGTACTGAGTGATCTGTGGGTCCTTGCTCACGACCATGTGGACAATACCTGAGGCTGTAACCTAGAGCCCCCAGCCCTGCTGCCGCTCTGGTTTGTTGAGTGTGCTTTCAGACCCGACTTCTAACTCCACAGTATCTGCAAGAGCAGTGGGGAAGTGTGCCCCGTAACCGCACCCCAGATCCTCTGCGGTTTGGGGGCTCCTGTTGGTGCATTTTGCAAGGTCTCGTTTTCTCACCGGTTTGGTCAGTGACGGTGTGTGGCTCTGGACGTGTCGTCTTTGCTTATGCGTCGTGACCCTCGCTCCCCGTCGTCTTGGTAGGTCTTGATGTCGTCTTTCCTGTCTACACCTGGCAAGGCCGGGCGGTGGCCACGGTGGACACACGTCGTTGCCGCGATCGCACGGCACATGTAGGCACGTCTCCACCAGCTTCTCGTGGATTGCCATCTGAGGAGGGGGCAGGTGGCTGACATGTTTGAGGCAAGGACTATCTTGACCCTAAACGTGTTCTTGTTGAATTGCAGGAAGCTCTTCGTGGGCGGTCTTGACTGGAGCACCACCCAAGGTAGGTGGTGGGGACCGCCTGTATGCCAGGCACCGTGCCTCCCCTTGGTCGTGAACGCGTGTGAATTTGTGTCTCGCTACTACTTTTGGGGGGGAAGGGTTTCTTTCCTTCTTGGTTAGCTTACTGTCTTGAATTCTGGGGAGGAGGGGCGCTGGACCGGGAGTCGTCCTGGAGTCCTGGCAGAGGTAGGGGAGGGACGTGGAGGGCAGGAGACGAGTGTGGAGGTCTGCAGGCTTGCTGGCGCGGTCGCCGAGCTCAGGCCCCGTACAGGGCCCTAAGCAGCTTGTGGTAGTCGACGTTCCTGGTGGCCGCCTGGCTCCCCTCACACTTCACTTTTCAGATTGCCTTTGGCCACTGCCGTTGTCAGTCGCACCCCCGCTAATTCACGCAGACACATGTGCGTCCGTGTCTAGGATCCCCAGTCCTTCCCCAGGGGCCTCCTGCCCTTTCCGTCTTCAACCACCCCCGTCCACTGATGTGCCAGTTTAAGAGTTGCTGGTTGCACTTCCCAGGTCAGCCTGAAGGGCCAGGAGCACGTGTGCGTGTGTGCTTACACACCTGCTGTGATACTGTGCTTAACGCTCTGGTGTGTGTGTCTGTGTTTTTGTCCCAATCTCTGAGCAGAGACTCTACGCAGCTACTTTTCCCAATATGGAGAAGTTGTAGACTGTGTGATCATGAAAGATAAAACCACCAACCAGTCTCGAGGCTTTGGGTTTGTCAAATTTAAAGACCCAAACTGTGTGGGGACGGTGCTGGCCAGCAGACCACACACACTGGACGGCCGAAACGTAAGTGTCCTCCCTCAGTCTACCACCCGCATATCCCCCCCACCCCCCACCCCGCCCCGGCCCTGCTGTGCGTGGCCCCTTCAGCTGCGTCTGCCGCTGGGCTTGAGAGGTGCTCACGCCAAGGGGTGTTTTAGCGGGGTTGACTTAAGGGGTTGCAGCTCCGGGCTGAGGCTGTATGACGGAGTAGGTCGTGGACTTGGGGTGAATTGACAGGGGGCACGTGCTTGCTGGCCGTGCCGGCACCTTTTCTGGAGGAAGTAGCTTCGTGCTCACGATGGGCTCGTTTGAAACTTCTACAGATCGACCCAAAGCCATGCACACCTCGGGGGATGCAGCCGGAGAGGACACGGCCGAAGGAAGGATGGGTAAGGGGCCGGGCTGGGTGAGGTGGCCTCTCGGTGTGTCGTGTGCGTTCGTGGCCACAGTCGGAAGGAAATACGCACCTCTGATCTGGTGTCTTTGCTCCTTACGATTGAGAGCAACAGAGGCCCAGTTCGGTATCTGAGCAGCCGAGGGTTGCTCGGATCCATCCAATGGCGCACGTTGTTCATCTCCTAGCCGAGAGAAGTGCTCTTACTAGTCTGTCTTAGCGGGAGGAAAAAGACTGCTCGCACCCGTTTGTGATCCGGAACGGCCCGTTTTCTCCTCACTGGTGGTGGCTCTGCGCCTGCCCCAGGGGGGGACCCCGTGTCAGAGCGCCCTCTGCACCTGCCCCCCACCCCCTCTGCTTGCCGGCCGTGCCTGCCCAGGTGCTGCGGCTCAGGGGCAAGGGGCCATTTGCCCGCGTCCGAGAGCCTGCTTGCCAGTTGTTTGAACAACTGAGTCAGGATCCACCAGTGTGGCGGCTCCTCAGGGATTCTCTGAGCGGCGTGTGGCCCTTGGTGCTTGGCCAACTGGAGCAGACCCGTCCTCTGTCCACTGTCACCTGTACCTCCCCTTCCACCACCCAGCAGGTCTCAGAAGACTGTCATCCAGGAAGCCTTTGTCCTAGCAGAGAGGCCTGGCCAGAGCCGGGCCGGAGGCAGAGGGCACATATCTGATCAGCATGTCTGGGCCAGGGCCCGAGAACCTGAATTTCTAGCAGAGTCCAACTGCTGCTTGTAGACAAGGGCTTCAGACCCTTGAAACAGTTTTTATTTTCCCAATTTCCTATCAGGAAACTTTCCAGGAACTTTACGGAAAGATCGGAAGAGTAGTACGTCAGGTATATCCGTTCGCTTCATCAAGTGTTAATATTTCCCTGAAGTTGCCTGTGTTTCTGTCTCCTCTCTGTATCTCCCGCTCCTAAGTTCTGGAGCGTGCAGCTCCTGTAAGCACGTCCTCCCACAGGATACCCGCCCCCACAGCTGAAGCGGCAGCCGTGGTGCCCAGGGCCACCTGTGTCCAGACAGTGCACTCGTGGCTCTGGGCTTCTTCCACAGGTGGCTGTCATACCTCTTCTCTTCAGACTGGAACCGAGGCCGCCACGTTCACATTCCATTTGGTTACTCGTGTTCTTTACTAAGACGGAACGGTCATGTAGGGTAACCGCATTTTGACGGCATTTGACCCCTGTGTGGACCTGTGAGACCTCGCCCACCCCCAGAGTTCAGTCGTGTTGTCCAGAGCGGCTAGGACGACGTAGTCTGGGAGCCCCGTGGCCACGAAGGATGAGGGGCATGTGAGGAATGCGGTGGGGAGGCAGCCCCCTAGGAGTAGGGGCTGAGGTCTGGTCCTCCACCTGGAGTCCAGCGCTTCCCTCCCAGGCGTGAGGCCGTCTGCAGAGAGGGAGGGATCGCTGGGGTCAGTGGAGGCAAGTGGCTTCCCAGTTACTGCGACTTCCCATGGTCCTCTCCGGTCACCCACTAAAACCCTGGAAAGCTGTCTTCATCATCACGGCCACCTTGCCCTCCTGAGGCCTCGCTTTTCAGATCGTAGAGCCTTACCCTTTACAGCCGTTGTCGTTCGGGATAATTACGCACGGGACCCACCACACGCTCCGTGCACACGCATGGGGAATGCAGTGGTGCCCGTGCTGCCGGGTCCCTGTCACCTTGGGACTCCCTGGGAAAATGGAAAAGTTACAATGGCTTGCCAGTTGTGATGCTCTTTGGATTTGGTGGGGTTTTGGACTGTTTGGGTCTGGCTTTTCGCTGGTTCCTAAAACCAATGCCGAGTGTAGCTCACGTACGCACTGTAGAGAGGGTTGTGAGGGTTCCCTGCACGGACTAACCATTTTTTCCCTCTTGAAACAGCAGAAAGGACCCAGGAGCGATAACAGTAAATCAAATAAGATATTTGTCGGTGGGATCCCTCACAATTGCGGTGAGACAGAGCTCAGGGAATACTTCAAGAAATTCGGAGTGGTGAGTTGTTCTGGGCCGGAGCACGGCAGGGCGGGGCGGGAGTGGTGGAGCCGAGTGTCCACAGAGGTTAAGCCTGGCAGCTGTCTCCTCGGGGCCTGTGTCTTCCCCAGAGCGGGCCCGAGCCCAGGAGAGGGGATGTGCGGCTTTTCCAGGCGCACAGTCGCTCGCCAGGCCGACCTCCCGAAAGGCCCTTCCGGTCAGCTGGAGGTGCCACAGTGTAGGGTGCTAGGATAGTGTTGGAGAGAAGCAGGGGGTTGGTCTGGCGGTGGGAGCCAGACTTCTGTGTCTCATCACGGGAGGAATGTTCTAGCCCAGGTCCTCAGAGCAGCCGTGCAGACCCTGCCATCTGGGAGGGCGCCGGCTCGGGCCCTGTGCTGCCCTGCTCCGGCGGCTCGCGCGTCCTGTGGGCCGCCGGGCACTCATACCCTGGCCAGGTGTCGTGAGAGATCCTTGAACCTGTCACCTGCTCGGTTTTTCCTCAGTGACAGCAGACCTTCTCCCCAGGCCGGTTCTGTTCCTGGAAGAGGCTGAAATCCGTTAGAGTCTTCCTGGGGGGTTAGCATCACTTGTGCTCGGTTCTAGTAGGGCAGGCAGAAGAGGAGACGGACAGCATGCAGGCTCGTGGGGGGAGGAGGAGGGGCGTCCCAGTCACCCGAAGCAAAGGCGTGGGGTCACCCCGGACCCCGACGGGCCTGTTGGTGGGCCGTCCCCTTGCCCTCCCTACTGCCTGTTTGTCGGGGGGGCACCTGAGTGTGCCAAGGGCCCGGGCCCCGAACGAAGGGCGCCAGAGCGTGTGGCGTTGTGCGCTCAGGGAGAGAAGAGATGCCGTCCTGGTGGACGTCTGTCAGGGAGGGCTGAGCTGAGCTGACCGGGACGCGGGCCCTTCCATCCTGGCGCCTGAGCCTTTGGGCTTGTCTGCGAAGGGAAAGGCGCGCCGTGGTCCTCACCCCCTGCCCTCCAGCTGGAGTGCGGGGCCGGGTCCCTGGTGTCCCGGTGGCTCCGCGTGAGCACTTGGGGCAGGGGTGGCCTGTGCTTCCTGTCTCGGGTCCCGTGAGTCTCGGGCGTCAAAGCCCTTAAGGCCGGCCTCGGGGCCTCTGGACTTCCCCGGGGAGTGTCCGCACGCAGCCCCGAGCTGCCGTTGCCTCGGGAGTTCTGTGGTAGCCAGATGTGCTCGTGGCCGCCCGTGGCACCCGGATTCTCGAACACCGTCTCTCTTGCAGGTCACAGAAGTGGTCATGATCTACGACGCAGAGAAACAGAGGCCTCGAGGTAAAAGAGATGAAGTTTGTCCTTGACCTTCCCCTTCAGATGGCAAACTATCTCACGATGAGGTGGTGGTGGTGGCGAGCATTGCCTCAGAGAAGGATGATTTGGAGACATGATTAAAACGTAGGCCCTTCCTGTGCAGCCCCAGCCTGTCTGCTTCCCAAGGTCAGGCGTCCTAGGGTTTTTTTGGCTCGTTCTTTTGAAGTTTTTACAACTTGACACGAATTTTAACACGGTTTCTGTTTTTAAATGTGTACAGAAAGATCGGTGCTTTTTTTCAAATGGTGCGCTCGTCGCTCAGGGCCGCGTCCTGCTCAGAGTCCCCCCGCCACCCCCGCCCCGCCCCGCCCCGCCCCGGCAGGCCTCTTCCATGGCGTCAGGCTAGGTCTGCCCCAGCTCGGCTTGAATGTGACTTGACTTTACTCATCCCATGCTTTTTTTTTTTTGTTTTTCTTGTTTCCTGTTCCCCTAAGACTGGGGCAGCGGGAGGAGGGTGAGGAGCTGCCTCAATGCATCCCCATGAGGTTCCTGGGGCTGGGACAGCGGGCACCCAGTTTCTGTGCCCCCCCTTTTCCTTTTTTTCTTTCTTTTTTTTTTTCCCCCTTTTTTCTTCTTCTTTTTTTTTTCTTTTTTTTTTTTTTTTGTGGCTGCTGCTGTCTGCCCGCCCGTATGATTTGGTTCATCCACCGCTTTTGGACCGGCTGTGTGAGCTGCCCTGCCAGTCTGGGCGCCGTGCAGCCTGCGCCCCAGCCCCGTCAGAGGCCCCCCTAGCGCACTGAGCCGGCGCCGCCGCAGCATGCGCCCGCCATGCTGGAGAATAGTTTGCCATTTGAACTTCCTTCCTTCTCTTCCTCCATGATAAGTGACGTATCCTCACTTCATGTCGATTAAGCTGTTAAGTCTTAGCTTAATTTTAACGTAGACATACATGCTTAGTGACGTACTTAAGTGTCTCATAGTAAAGTACAGTAACGTTAAGTAAGTTGTTTTTCCTTTTCTCTCTGTGAATTGTTTGTGATTAACGATATCTCTTTAGATTTCTCTTCTCCAGGTGCTAAATTATATCACACAGGTACAGGCCAGTCCCGCAGTCAGAGGAGGGAACGGGCTTTGCTCCAGTGGGGTGTAAACGAAGTTTCAGTGTGTTTCTGTCCGCTTCCTCAGTGGTGATGTCGCCTCTTGACAGACAGATGCGTCCCTAGACGCCCCGCCCCGGGGCTCCTTACCCAAGACTCACCGCCTCTTGCGCTATAACGGACCACGCCAGCCCTGTGGTTGCAGACACTCCTGCACTTTGGGAAAATGTTAATTTTTAAACCTGCTGTTCATCACCCATGTTGTGTTCCACTATTTGCCTCGGGTCTTGTGAAACTTCAGGACGTGGAATCCTGAGGGCTACTCTTAGATTTCTACCCCTGGTCGGTCCCCTGAGGCCTGGCCCTGGGCCCAGGGAGCACACTGAGCTGCCGTGGGCTGGGGGTGCAGGCAGGAGGAGGAGGTGGTGGGGAGAGCGCTTCGGGCTTGGCCTTGGGACCCACGTTCCCGTGGAGGCTCACGCTGCCCTCCTCCGCATCAGGCTCTGAGTCCCTGCGAGCACCCAGACCCGCACAGGGCAGCACAGGGTGGGAGCGACCGCAGGAGCCCCCAGTGGGCTGGGCGGGGGCGCCCGAGAGAGCCCATCCCGCTTTCTCCTCTTCCTAGGTCTTTTCCAAGGCTCTGCCTCCTTCCTCCCTCTCTGCTCATTTAAGACACTAGCCCTGTCCGTGTCCGGGGGGATTCTGCATGTGTCTCACCGGGTACAGCGAGACTCTGACTCTGCCCCACCCCCCCACCCCTGGTCCCGGCCGCTGCCTCTGCTCGCCTCACACCTTCCTCTCCGGCGTCTCCCCGCTCCAGCTTCTAGCTCCCCCTGTTTGTCTTTCGTCCTCGTCCCGCTGCCGCGATTCCGCTCCTTCTCGCACGCCGTGTGCAGATTCTTGTGTGAGTGTGTGCATAGTCACGCTCGGGCACACGCGTGTGCAGACACAGAAGCCTCCCGAATCCTGGGTGTCCCTCTCTTCCGGCCTCATCCAAGTTTCTGAGCTGTCTTCCCCCACCCCACCCCCCCCATCCTCTCCAGCAAGGTTTTGTCTCCAGTCCCACCTGGTCCAGCTCCAGCCACCGCAGCCTCAGAGCTCAGAGTCCCTCCTCCATCCGCTTGAGGGGCCCTGGGATTGGCCGCTCCTCCCTGACTCCCCCTCCCTGCCCACTCTGACTCCTCAGCCCAGGCCTGGGCGGCAGGCGGCACTTTCCCCTGCACAGGCCCGACCCAGGCTCTTCCCATCGGCCCCGGCCCCGCCCCCCCGCCCCTCTCCTGCCCAGTCCGGGCTGCCAGCCCTTCCCCTCAGCTGCCTTTTGTTCTCCGGCGTCTTCTGGCAGCTCTGTGCCGCACGCGTCCTTTTGTGCTCAGAGCAGACGGGCCCCGGGGGAGACAGTGCAGTCGACCGAGGACCAGACGTGCCACGTTAGCCGGGCGGTCACACTCACCCAGACCAACCAAACTTCGTTTATACTGCCACTTTCTTGTGTTTGGGAAATGCTAAATTTTTTTCCCGTTAAAATTCTCTCTTTGATGACACGGTGCCTCTCGCTCTTGCTGCTGACAGCAGAGTTTGACCTGCTGGAACCCGTTGTGGCCTGTATCTTTGTGTATTTTACTTAAGTAGATACGTACAGATAGACACCTGTATACATACGTATGTTACTTCGAGAGGACTCCTTGGGCTTACCCAACAGCGTTGGATAAGCTTAGCGAGGCACTAACTGTGTAGAGACCGTACTTCTGTTTAACGCGCTAGAACGATATATGGCTGCTGTCAGCACTAGTTGCAAAGCAAATTGCAAGCCGAGGGGGAGAATCCCGGGTTTCAGAAAAGCAGACGCGCACCCACGGCACACACACACCCCAACGGAGGCGGAGCTCTCGGCCCGCTCCCCTGCCCCGGGGGAGCACGGCGGCTCCCTCCGCCGCGCTCTGGCTCCGGCCCGGCGCCCGCCGTCTTACCGCTCGGGCTGCCGCGCTCCGCGACGGCCTCTCCCCCCTCCCCCTCCCCCCCCCCCGTGGCTCCCCCTGTGTTTCCACACGGAGCCCCGCCTGCGTCACCGCAGCCGCACACACTCGGCTTCCTGAAACCCTGGGGCGACCCCTCGGCCCGGCCCTGATACTGTTCATCACCCTGTTTTGTGTCACAACGCCCTGCTACCTTGATTCACTCTTCGTCGTTGGCTAGGTTTTGGATTTATTACTTTCGAGGACGAACAATCAGTGGACCAGGCTGTCAACATGCATTTTCACGACATCATGGGCAAAAAAGTGTGTAGTTGTAGTTTTATTTTACCTTAAGACCAAACCAAGTCTTAGGCAACTTAGGGATTTCACTGGAAACACAGATTCCTTAACGGTAAAGGGGGCTGGGTCAGTCGGGGGGGGGGGGTTGGGGGGGTCTGCCAAAGCTGGGGGCCCATCCTGCCCGAGGGGCTCTGCTCCCGGCACCCCTCGCTCTGGATCCCCCTGGGACCGGTGGGCGGGGTGGGCCCCGGCCGAGGGGCTCCGTCGGGGGGGGGGGGGGGGGCTGGTGGGCTGGCCTCCAGTGAAATCGCAGGTTGTCTCAGGCTTGGTTTCAGTGACCACTCCTTCAGATGTCTGTCCCGCATTCCGATTGTCTCAGCCGCCCCGTAACGTGGGGGGCGGTGAACCCTTGAAAACCGATTCCGTGTGAAACCGAAAGAGACGTAAACATCCTGAAGGATTGGTTTTTTTTAATTGGGTCACTTACTGTGAAACTCCGGCCCCAAGCACATGCTCTCGGTAGTACTTACCTCCGTGCAGTCAAGTGACCTCTGGTTGTCCCGTCTTCATACTGTGTTGCTGCCGCGGACGCGGGCGGCTCGGAGCTGTGGTGGGGGGTGCTCACTCAAATAAATCGCTGGTAGAAATTCTGCAGCATGGGGTCCCTTAGCGTTAGCAGAGGCTTTGCAGGACTCCCGTCTCGGGCCTTTCAGAACCTGCTCTGTGCAGCCCGGCGGGCCACGTGGGTGCCACGAAGCCGGCACTTCCTCGTTCCCTCGGCCACCAAGCCCCGGCCTGGTGATGGGGCCGTGGCTGTTTTTGTCAGTTAAGATAGCGTGCGGGCAATGAGGCACCACGGGGTCCTGCCCCTCCTGCCCCCCCCCCCAGCCCCGCAGCCCGCTCCCCGGAAGTTGATAAGCACGGCCGCGTGCGCAGCTGTGTGCATCCAAAGGAGGCTAGTGCAGGTGTTGTCGCAGGCTTAATTCTGTCTGAACCCGAGCGAGCACACACAAGTCTCGCTCCGACGTCCATTGAAGCTTTTAGTTCAGAATTTGCATGCAGATCTCAAGGACGCATGCCAGTTACGAACACAAGTGCAAAGGAGTCCGCGTTCAATACTTGAAGGTACCGTGACATTTAAAACTTGGACGGAGCCTGGGCCCGCTCTAGGGGCAGAAAGGCCGATAAGCGCACGGATCTGCTCCCGTCTCCAGGCGGCCGTCCCCGCCCCGGTTTTGTAGGACGCATCGGTGTCTGAGTCTGGTCTGCACGGAGCACAGAGCGGAGACTGAGGTGGCTTCTCGGTGTGGGGCTCAACTTGTACAGTAAGGTGCACACGGGCGGGAGCCCCCAGCCTCGCCCTGTCCCCACGGCCCGACCTTCACTGGCGGGCTGGCTCCTTAGTGGGGGTCCCTCCAGAAAGGCCTGGGGTCCCCCTCCAGTTAGAAGCAATAGGGTGAGTGACTGCACCCACGTTCCCACAGGAGGACAGTAGACGTTGTTTTTAAACAAAAGTTACGAGGGCTGCTTCGCTTTGTCAGCAGGAACCAAATTCCCCTAAGGAGGGTGCGTGAAGACTCGTTAGTTGGAGTTCTTCGAAAGGGTCCCTTGGTCCTGCTGTCACATCGCCTTGAGCTACCGGGGATTTTGTTCCTCTCCGTGGAGTGTCCTTGGGGCCCCAGGAACGTGGCGTCTTTGTGCCTCTGTCCCAGTCCCTGTGTGTTAGACAGGAAGGGCTCTTAGGGCGCCACTGATGGAACTTTGAATACATAACGCTTATTAGCTCATCAGACGATGAGACTCCAAGGAGGACTCCAAGTGGCTTTATTGTCTCTTCTCATTAAAACTTGTCATAAAAAAACAAAATTTCAAGGTTCTCAACTGCCGAGGCAGCCCTATAATTGGGGGACAGAGGCTGCGGAAGGGAGGGAGCTGTGTGGTGGCCACAGCGCCTAGTGCAGGTAGGACACTAAGGTAGGGCACCTCTGGGTCCCCGTTCCCCCCCCCCCCCCCACTGCTGTGGCTCCTGACAACACCCGACAGGAAGGGTCCTGGGCTGCTGACCTAACACAGTATGAAGATTGCTTACTGATTCAAATGTCCATTTTATTGCATGTTTGTTTACTTTTTTTGTTAGATGTAATGTAAGATTCTCTTTATCACATCCATTCCCTCTGACATTATTTTGAGTTAATTGAGATTCTTTAAGCGTTAGCCTGGGGAAGGTAAGTCCTTATCTTCCATTAGACATTTTAAATAAAAAACCTAAGGAAACCAACTGTGTTTCTCAGGTATGAGCTCACGGCACAGGGCAGGGCGGGTGGGCTCCAGAGAGGCCTCGTGCGTGTGGGCCCGGCTGCTCCCCGACGTGCTCCGTAGCGGCGGGCTCCTGCCACGCCGGGGCCCTTGGGAGGCCCGGGGAGAGGGCTGTGACTGTTCGGGCGGTCCTGATCTCTGTGTCCCTGGGATGAGGAGGCCACCGAAGGAGAAAGCTGTCATTTTACCTTCACTGAAAGACCCCTTGTTACCCAGAACTCTTGAGGGTTCTTGGCCTTCATTCGGTGCCCCGCAGCGGGTGGGGCTTAACACGTCTTACGTTGCATCTGTTGTACCTGAGAAACATGTTTTAAGCAAAAAAAAGAAAAAAAAAAAAAAAAAAAAAATATTAAAAAAAAAAAAAAAAAAGAATACTGGCCTAAGGTTTATAGTTAAGTTTTAGTTTTAAGTCATAATAAGATGCTAAGTGTAGTCATAAGTTATCAAGGGTGTGTCTGAAGGGAAGGGGGTCCGGGACCCTCGGCATCTCCCTAAACCACAGCTCCATTTGTCTAGGTGGAAGTTAAACGGGCCGAGCCACGTGACAGCAAAAGCCAAGCGCCGGGACAGCCAGGTGCCAGCCAGTGGGGCAGCCGGGTCGTGCCCAGTGCTGCTAATGGCTGGGCAGGCCAGCCCCCACCCACGTGGCAGCAAGGATACGGCCCACAAGGTGAGGCCCCAGCACCCAGAACCGGCCGGGCCCCCGGGTGGCCGCCTCAGGGGTTTCTGCTCGGGGGGCCGGGGTCCCAAGCCCGTGGGGTGGTGGGTCCACGAAGGCACAGGTGGTACTCCCTGCTCGTCCGGCCCCAGGGTCTCCTGCCCAGCAGGTTGGCATGCGGGCTGCATGCTGGTCCCCCGATAGCACGCGCGCCCCTAGAGGGGCACCTTCTGGTCGGCACGCAGACCGGAAAGGGGCCAGGTTCCAGGTCGTCACCTGGTCCGTGTGGAGGACGGTGGTGTGTCTGGGCCGTAGCCGAGTCCCCGTCTGTGGTTTGGGCAGATGAGTCTCAACCGTAGTTGGCAGAGGGCAGTGAGCATCTTTACTCCAAGTACTGTGCTCTGGAGGAGGGCCTCCCAGGCCTGAGGGAGTAGTTCGATGCCTCGTGCTGACCCCTTTGCTGTCCCCGGGGTCTGTGGCAGTGCCTTGGGGGTAGGGGGATGGGCAGAAGGACCTGGTGGATTTGAGAGTCCGTCACTGTCACCATCACCCCCTCTAGTGGGCCTGGCCTGGCCCTCTCGGGGGCCCAGATAAGATGCTCTTAGGGAGACTGGGGCTTTTGCCCCAGAGTCCTGTTTCCTTCACCCTCTCGGTCTGCTCCTGCTCCTGCTCCTGCTCCTTGGGCTGTCAGATCCTCGTGATGGGTCAGCAGAGTGTTTAAGGACAGCTTGGCAGAAGGATTGGGGTGCCTAGGGGCTCCAGGACAGGATCTGGTAGCCTCTACGCCCTTTAGTGTCCAAGGAGGGGCAGAAGGTCAGGTGGGCCTGTCTGCATCCAGAGGCACCTGGCGCCCCCTCTTTGGGCTCACAGAGTCGTCTTTTAAAAAATTCTTTATTGCCAAAGAACACACAGCCCTAGAAAACCAGTTATCCCGCGTGCCCGCCAGCTCGGCTGGTGGCCGGCCCCGAGCCCCCACCGCCCAGCCTGAGGTCCCACCTGTGCCTCCCAGCCCCTGATCTGTGGGTGTTCCTCCCACCCTTTCTGGTGGGTTCTGTGGAAGGGCCGGGGCCACCTGACCCAACAGGCTTCTCTTGGGAGCCCCTCCCCCACCCCAGCCCCCGTCCCATAGAAGCAGGACGCGAGCGGCAGCTCTTTCCCCATACCCAGGTGCTGGAGAAGCTCTGGGGGTCACGCCTGTGCTCCTGGTCTACCACGGGCTCCTCTGACGCCTTCCTCGGGGCTGGGACATCCCGCCCTGGTGCCCACAGTGCAACAGGACGCCAGGCCCCTCGGGTGCGTTTCCAGAAGGGCTTCTCACCGGCACAGCCAGTGCTGTCGGGGGGAGCGGGGCTCAGCTGACGGGCACCAACCACCCTCTCTGTTTTCCTGTTTAGGAATGTGGGTACCAGCCGGACAGGCAATCGGTAAGTCCTCATCATGGGCAACTGAGAAGGAACAGGGTCTGAAATGGGGCAGCCCCGCGGCGGGCCAGGGCGGCCCGGAGCCTCGTGTGCCACGCCCTTGTCCCTCACCTCTGTGTCCTGTGTTACAGGTGGCTATGGACCGCCCCCTGCGGGAAGAGGAGCCCCCCCACCGCCGCCACCGTTCACCTCTTACATTGTGTCCACCCCTCCCGGAGGCTTCCCCCCTCCTCAGGGCTTCCCACAGGGCTACGGTGCCCCTCCACAGTTCAGTAAGTCCTGTGGGCCCCAGGAGGGGGGCTGGGGTGCCGCGTGTCCACGCCCCTCTGCTCGGAGGGCCGTGTGGATGACGCCTGTGTCGTCCAAGATGAGCGTGCCACGTCACTGGGGCGGGCCCTGCGAGCGGTCGCAGCACGGGGCCTTTGGACCTGGCCTTGTAACTTGTAACAGAGCAGCGAAGGGCTAGAGGGCATACGAGCTGGAGTCTCAGTCCTCTGTTCTGCTTTGTGCCCGGGCGGCTGGCGGCTGGCAGGCCTGCAAGGTTCAGTGCTCGTCCCTGGTAGGAAGGGGTGTGGCCAGGGCGCCTGGGTGGCTCAGTCGGTTGAGCATGTGACTCTTGTCCCCTCTGCTCCTCTGCCCCTCTCCCCTGTTCGTGCGTGTGCGCTGTCTCCCTGCTTCTTTTTCTCTGCGGCCGCCCCCCCGCGCCCCGGGGTTTAAAGGAAAAAAAGAAAAGGGTGTGGCCCCTCCTGGTGACTGGGTCTTCAGCAGGAAAGAGACCCTCACCTGATCGAGTGTGGCTGGCCACTGCTCTTGCCCTGCGGCCCACACAGACTGTCCCCCGGTCTTCCCGTTAAGACCTTGGGCGCCCACACGTGTTCTGCTTTTGGGATGCACCACAGGCTTGGGTCAGTCACATTTTTCGGGCTCCACGGCTGCCCGTGGCCCGGACCACATCAGATTTTCTTTTTCTTTTTAATGTTTGTTTATTTTTGAGAGAGAGAGAGAGAGAGAGAGAGAGAGAGACAGTGCAAGCAGGGGAGGGGCAGAGAGAAGGGGAGACACAGAATCCGAGGCTCTAGGCTCCGAGCTGTCAGCAGAGAGCCTGATGTGGGGCTCGAACTCACAAACCGTGAGATCATAATCTGAGCCTAAGTCGGACGCTTAACCGACTGAGCCACCTAGGTGCCCCAGATTTTTATTTCTAACAAGAACACAGGTGGATAGAAACCGGTTTTCTGGAGCCCCCCAGGACAGAGTGTGGACAGGCGTGACCCCCGCCCTCGTGAAAGGCTCACTGTGATTCTTTTTGTCTTCTCAGAGCACAGATTGTGCTTTGTTAGGCAACTGGTTTTGGTTTTTTCAAGAGTATTTCAGTGCAGTTACTCCCTGTGGAGTTCCTGCCTGACACTCGCTGTCAGAGGTGCGGTGACAGGCTGCCCCAGGCCCACCCGGGCACCCCAGCCTTCCAGACCATCGCTAGTCCACATGCTGCCTTCTCCCAGCTGGGGCACATCCCCGGGACCTGGCCACTTGGTGCGTCTCGGCAGGAAATGGCGCGGGCAGCTCCCGTAGGCTGGTCCGCGGTCGTGCACTGTGTGTGTGTGTCTTCCTCTCCTGTTTGCGCGCAGGCTTTGGCTACGGGCCGCCGCCTCCACCGCCGGATCAGTTTGCCCCGCCTGGGGTCCCTCCTCCACCTGCTACTCCAGGGGCAGCACCTCTGGCCTTCCCACCGCCTCCGTCTCAGGCCGCCCCCGACATGAGCAAGCCCCCGACGGCCCAGCCAGACTTCCCCTACAGCCAGTACGGTGAGTGGCTGTAACTCTCGCCCGCGCTGGAGACCTGCGTTCGAGGCCTGGGGCCGGGGATCTGGCCCCGCCACCTTCCGCCTTCCTCCCTGCCAGCGTCTGTGACGGAGGCCCGCTCTGCTGGGGCTTGTCAGAGAGCGTCCGGCAAAATGAAAAGAAGGATTTGGGTTTCCTGGGGTTTTGCTAGGGAGCTGTCTGAGAAACGCATCGCGTGAGCGGCAGGCGTCCCAGGGCCTGTGGGTTGGGGAGCCTGCGGCTGTGACCAGGCCCCCAGGAGGATGGTGCGCACGGGCTCAGTGGAGCGCCCCCAGCAGGCACTGTTCCTTGGTCTCGTTCTCCAAGTGCAGCGTGCAGGGAGGGCACCTGTTGGCCACGTGGGCTCGTGGCTCTGGTCTGTGGCGGGCGCTGGCGAGGGCGTCACCATGCTTCACTGGAGGGGCCGGTCGTGGACTAGGTGCCTCTGAGCCCGGGGTCTACGAGGTGGTGGCCCGTGGCCTGCGTGGGAGGGGCCCGTGAGGACGGGCTTGGGCCCCGTGTCCTGGGTAGGGCGGGCCTCCACCCTGGGCCTCCTGCCACCTGTGCGGGGCCACGCAGGCGGGCTGCCTGTCTTCTGGGGCTTCGGGGGCTCCTGGCGCTCCTGTGGGAGCCATGGCTTCGGCCCACGTCTCCTCGCCTGGGGCTCTGCTACTCCCACGTGGTCGTTCACACTGTGTTTCGCCCAAGACTTCAGTGTCTACGCGTGAGGCTGTTCTTGCTCTCGATTGCCGTTCTCGGCCGGCTGCTCCCAGTAGCCCGGCATCGCAGCAGCTTGGCCCCTTGGCGCCGTGCCACGCCACGGTCCCTGAGTGCGTGGGTTGTCACCCCCCCCCCCCCCCACCCCAGCAGAACACGTGTCCAGCGCACGAGCAGCCCCGGGCGGGGGTGTGTGTGCTGACCGCCAGCGTGGCCCCGCCCCGCCCCGCTGCCGAGGCTGCCCTGGGGTAGTCACCCTGGTCTCGTCTCTTGCCAGGCCTGGCTACCTATTCTCAAGACCCGTCAGGCTTCGGGCCCATACTTTGTTTACACTCTTATGGTCAGGCTGAGCAGTGATGTGGCCTAGGTAGGTGGCACCTTCTCATCCACGGTCCCCACTCTGCCTGTACCGGGCAGCGGGCACGGCCTCCTCTGCCGTCCTGGGCGGGGGTGGACCTGGCGGTGCCCTCTGGGACGGGGCCCTTGCCGGGGCGAGGATCTCAACTGGCCACAGCCCCGTGGGCCCTAGAGCTCTGCCTCTGCGGGCAGCAGGCGTCGGCGCCCCATGTGCACCCTCTACTGGGGATCCGGGGGCCTTGGGGCACGCCTTCACCCCAGGCGTGCAGGCTGGTGCCGGTCCCCTTTCCAGAGTGCCTCCCACGCATTCTGAGGTCAGCTGCAGGCTCTAGGCCCTGTTCCGAGGAGGGCCCTGGCCCGCCCGGGGCAGGCTCTGTAGGCACGGTGCCCAGAGTCACTTACGCCTGGCGTTGGGTTGGGCACACAGTCTTTCCTCACACCCGTCGGTCTTAGGGAAGATCCCAGGTGCGATCAGCTCTGCAGAGAGGACTGTCTCGGGTCTGGGGGTCACCCTGGAGGGAGGGGCCTGGGCTAGGCTTGCATTTCTTAATCGCTGGGAATTGTGCCTGAGCTCCCTGCCTGCACCCCGTGGGGGGGGCGCCGCCGGTCCGCCACCTGGGTGCATCACACTGAAGATTAAACTTTTTAGAAATCCTCAGTCTACTGAGCCGGGGGCCGGGTCCTCTTAACATTTCCGAGCTCAAAGGTCTCCAGTGGCCAGGGCCCAACCCCAGGTCCTCGGGACTGGGTGGGGAGGCGAGGCCGAGGTCGGATGGGACAGGCTGTGGGGTCTTCCGGGTCTCCGAGCTGCTTTTCCTTCTGCACAGAGACTGTGGTCAGGGCCCTGCGGGGGGTCGGGATGGGCTCCACGGGCACGGACCGCTCCCTGGCCGTTAGGGCGAGAGCTGCCATCCCGCCGCAGCTCACCGGGCTCTTTTCCTGCAGGTTACGGACAGGACTTGGCCGGCTTCGGACAGGGCTTCTCAGATCCCAGCCAGCAGCCCCCCTCGTATGGGGGCCCCTCAGTGCCGGGCTCGGGGGGCCCCCCCGCCGGCGGAAGTGGCTTTGGACGAGGTCAGAACCACAACGTGCAAGGATTCCACCCGTACCGACGCTAGCTGGCCGGCGCCGTGTGGACGTCAGGGCGGCCGAGACCCAGGATTTAAAACTTGTGAACTCGTGACAATCACAAACTTGGCAGAAAAATAGCGGCTCACCGTTGGGGGGAGGGGGGCGAGAGGCTTTTGGAGGCGGCTGTGGGTGTCTGGACTGAAGTTTTTAAACATATTTCTTTCTCTAACCCATCAGCACAATAAAAAAAAGTCACTGGTTCAACAACAGGGTTTAAAAAAAATGTCTTCAGCTTTAATTCAAAACTTCAGGTTTCTTTTTCTTCCTTTTTTTTGAAATTATTTTCCTGAGCCTTTTGTTTTACCGTATATTGTAAACTTTTATGTTAAAGAAAAAATATACATTTACAAATTGTGAGATTTTTAAGAGAAATTTTCTACGATGTATACTGGCTTATTTTTTAATTTAAAGCAGGGTTTCCGTCGGCACTGGTGGCAGTGAGGGGCGTTTCAGTGCCTCACTCCTGGCTTTGAGGGTCGGGGCTTGTTGGTCCAGAAACTCTGGGAGCTTACAGAAAAAGTCTACTGAGCGTGTTTTGTTTTTTGTTTATTCCTTGCTTTTGTCGACTGACCTGCCTGGCAGCGCCCGCAGGTGCGCCGTGGGGGCCGCGCCCGCCCAGCCTCTGCCGGCGCCGCCCCGCGTCCGCCCCGGCAGCAAGGACAAGGAGGCCTTGTCAGCCGCTCTCCCGCGCACGTGGTTTCAGGGCAGGGCGTCCCCACCGACCAGTTTGGCCCTGGTTTGAATAAAGAGAAGTGCGTTTGGATTAGAAACCCACGTTGTGTGCTTTTATTCCCTCCTTGTTGTCGGCTGTGCGTCCCTTCTGTGTCCAGGAGGAGCCCGTCCCTGCGGGAGACCTGTGCCGGCCCTCCCCACCTCCCGGGGCTCAGCGGCCACCCGCCGAATGCCAAGGGAAAGGTGCTCGGACGGATCCGGGTGGGTGGGGGCCGTCCCGTGGCCGGGGCGGGAGGCAGCACGATGGCCCCGGCTCCTCGAGCTCAAGGACCAACGGTGGAGGTGAGGGGGGAGGGAAGCCTGAGCCAGGAGGTGGGGAGGGCCGAGCTCTGGCCAGCGTCCCACGGCGGCCACCAGGTGTCTGCCAGGCCTTTCCAGCCCTGGGTATTTGGACCTTTCTGTCCTTTTCCTTGACTGCTCCTTCCCCGGTGAGAAGGGGCTGACGCTCAGCGAAGGCCCTGTTTGCAGCCCCAACGGGAGGGGGAGTCCGTTCGCCTGCGCACAGGGCTTCCTGCTCTGGGCCCCACTTCCTGTGGGAGTGGGGAGGGGCTCCTGGGTCTGGGGGAGGCTGGCCCTGGGGATCCGCTATGAACCAAATGGGTCAGTCCTCCCCTGTTCTGATGTGGGGGGTGTCTAAGGGCCCCCGTGACAGATCACCGCCCACCTAGGGCTTAAAGCCGCTCACAAATCGTCTTTGACAGTTCTGGGCCCCAGGGATCCCCGTCTCCCACCTTTCCCGGCTCCCAGAGGCCCCTCTTCCATTCTCACGGCCAGCAGTGCGGGGTCCGCCCGTCTCTGTCCCCTTCTCATGAGGACCTCGTGTGGACGCTGGGTACCCAGGGTCACCCCCGCCTCAGGCCTTGCTAAGGTCCCCTCTGTTGCGTGAGGGGACAGATCCCTGGTCCCAGAACCAGGTCTGGGGTCTTTGGAGGCCGTTATTCTCTCATTCTAAAGACCACAATGAAGATTTTAAAGCGTAAAAAGAACGGATTGCTCCAAAATGCACGGGGCGCCACCACAGTGTGTGGGGCTGGAGATGAAGTACTGAAGGAAACAGCCAGTAGCCCTCGTCCCCGCCCACAGCCCGCTGGCGATCTGCGGCAGGGAGGGTGGCTCAGCCCAAAGGCGAAGCGAAGCCCTCAAAATGCCCCTGCGGGGCCGCACCTGCCCGCCCCCGCCAGAGTCTTCTCCCTGCCCTCAGGAGGTGCCGCCACGGCAGGACTGGGCCTTCCATCCCCGCCGCGTGCCATCGCGACGTTAAACATGAGCTCCTTTCACTTGTGAAATTCTCTGTAAAATCAGGGTTCCCTGGTGAGAGGCCGTCGTGCAAACGACGCACGGATTTCCAGCTGGCCAGGAGCTCCTGGGACCCCCACCTTGCTCTGCTGGGCACAGGCGGGCCCCCTTCACACCCTGAAGGACACACCCCGTAGCCCTCAAACACCGTGCTTGTGCTGCATCGCAGACAGGGAGGGACATCCCCTTCTTTGGGAGCGTTTAATTGGCTCTACCCGCAGGATTGTAGAAATGGTTGAGGAGGCCCAGCTTCTTTCCAGACTTCTGTTCCCCCCCAGGCCAGCCCCGGCTCCCCACAAAGCCACTGGTCTGAGCCAGACCCCACCCAGCAATCCAGCTTGGGGCCGGGAAGGGGCTGAAGCCTCAGTCGCGGCCGTGGGCACCGTAGAGTCAGCTGGGTGGTGGGGCGGTGGTGGCAGCACCCACCTCCTTCCTACCGCAGGGTCTTTGCACGCTGGCTCCCTCTTCCCGGAACTCACCCTCCAGCCAGTGGTCTCTCCCATCCCCTGGTGTTCAGTGTGGTGCTCGGTTTACCCCTGCCATTTCGCTTTTTCTCTGTGCCGTGTGCCTTGTTTTGTTCTTACGCTTCTCTGTTCATGCTTTTGCATTAAATGAGTATTTCCTAAGGTAGCGTTTTAGTTCTTTTAATGATTTTTTTGTCATACTTTTTGAGTTATTTTCTTTGAGGCTGTTCTAGAGCTTACCATATGTTTTTTTTTTTTTTTCTTTTTGAAAAAACTTTTTTACATTTATTCATTTTTGAAAGATAGAGGCAGAGCACAAGCAGGGCAGGGGAGGAGAGAAAGGGGGACACAGAATCCAAAGCAGGCGCCAGGCTCCGAGCTGTCAGCACAGAGCCCGGCACAGGGCTGCGACTCCAGAATCAGGAGATCATGACCTGAGCCGAAATCAGGAGTCGGACGCTTAACCTACTGAGCCACCCAGGCGCCTGGTTGTTTCCTTATTGTGGCAAAATGCGCATTAAGACTTGCCGTTGTAACCATCCCTTAAGTGCACAGCTCAGTGACATCAAGCACACCCAACAGTGTCCTGCACCCGCCCCCACCACCCGTCTCCAGAACTTTCCATCTCCCCAGACCGAGACTCTGTCCCATGAAACACTGAGTCCCCACCCCTGGCTCCCACCGTCTACTCTCTCTGTCTCTGTGGACGGGACTCCTCTGGGGACCCCCTGTGAGTGGGGTCACGCAGGACGTGTCCTTCTGTGTCTGGCTTCTCTCACTGCACACAGTGTCCTGCGGGTCCGTCCACGTGGCGGCGGGTGGCAGACGTCCTTCCTTCCTAAGGCTGGATCCTACTCCGGCGTGTGGATGGACCACATCGTGTTTATCCTTCATCCGCGATGCATACTTGGGCTGTAGTGGATCATGCTGCTGTGGACATGTAAATCTCCCTGCTCTCAGTTATTGGGGTGTACACCCAGAAGTGGGACAGGACTATATAGCTCTAATTCCTTGTGCCTTTTTCTCTGTCATCGTTATACACGTCACATGCACAGACGTTACAGAAACCTAGTAGTGCACCGCTACGGTTGCTACTGTACCTGAGGCCCTCCGTTAAAGGCGGCGGGTCCCCATCAGGGCCGCCTTCTCGGGGCACCTGTGCGGAGCCAGCGCCCCGCCCCTCCCGGCTGTCCGCCGCCCGCACTAGGACGCTGGGCCCGAACCCACGGGGAGCACCTGCTGCTCGCAGGAGCGCGAGGTTCCGAGAGGGGCGGCGATGTGTCCGAGGCCCCAGCCGCAGCGTCTCCTTAGCGAGCGCCGCCTGCGCTCGGCCCTCCCGCCAGCGGAGGGCGCGCTCATCAGCCGAGAAAGCGGAAGCCCGTCCGAGCTGTCGGGCGCGAGGCGGGGCTCACGGGCGACCTCGTGATAATCGCGCAGGCGCGGAGGGGCGGTCCTTTCCGAAGAGCTGACAAGATGGTGAGTGCCGCGGGTTGGCGCGCCTGTTCCCGACTCATCCGGCGCCATCCGCGGTCTGGCCGCGCCGTGAAGGCCGGAGACAGGCCGCCCTGCTGCGGCAGCCATCTCTTGAGCCTCCGGGGCCGCCGCCTGTCGGGGTGCGGGGCGGGCCGGGCTGGTGTCGGGATGACGCGGGGCGGGGAAGGCCCGCGCAGGCAGACGTGTCCCGGCCGAGCCCCAGCGACCCGGGGCCGCCCGCGCTCCCCGGGGGCGGGCCGGAGGCCGTGTGTCCCCGCGGGCCCCCGTGGGCGCCCGAGGGCGGCCGCGGGGGTGGGAGGCGAGTCTGCGGCTGCCCTCTGACCCGCGCCCCGGGCCCGCGCAGGCGGAAGTGGAACAGAAGAAGAAGCGCACTTTCCGCAAGTTCACCTACCGCGGCGTGGACCTGGACCAGCTGCTGGACATGTCCTAGTAAGGGGGGCCGGGCGGGGCCGGGGCGCTGTTTGGGCGCAGCGACGTTTGGGTCGAACCTAATTGCTGGTGTCCCCTCGTGACACTGTTTACACCCGCCGAAAACGCGGGAAGCTAGAACGGGCTGGGGTTTGGCACGTGGCCGGAAGCTCCTAGGCAGGGTGGCGGGGGTCTGGCTTGGATGCGGGGACACGGGCTTCTCGGATTCCCCGCAGCCTTCCTGAGCGTGAGCTTGGGTCAGCGGGGCCGTGAGGGGCCGCCCCCCCCCCCCTTCCGGGGACACACAGGTCGGCAGAGGCCTAGTTGGCTGGAGGTGCAGCAGTTTGCCCACGAGGTGCCGGCCACGTAGCCGCCTGCCTCAGTTTCCCCATCTGCAGCTCGCAGCTCTTGACCTTGGGGGCTTCTCCCCAGATTTGGGGCGGTGCGGGGCAGCAGCGACGTTCGCGGCTGGACCCTGGGGACTGTCGCGACCCAGCCGCTCACGCCATCGCGCCCTGCCCCCCAGCGAGCAGCTGATGCAGCTGTACAGCGCCCGGCAGCGGCGGAGGCTGAACCGGGGTCTGCGTCGGAAGCAGCACTCGCTGCTGAAGCGCCTGCGTAAGGCCAAGAAGGAGGCCCCCCCGATGGAGAAGCCCGAGGTGGTGAAGACGCACCTGCGGGACATGATCATCCTGCCCGAGATGGTGGGCAGCATGGTGGGCGTCTACAACGGCAAGACCTTCAACCAGGTGGAAATCAAGGTACCCGTGGGGCGCGGCGGGGCGGGGCGGGCAGCGGGGGCCTGTCCGCTCACGGTCGCCTTACTCCGTGCCCTGCTCCTCCCCGCTGCAGCCTGAGATGATTGGCCACTACCTGGGCGAGTTCTCCATCACCTACAAGCCGGTGAAGCACGGCAGGCCCGGCATAGGGGCCACCCACTCGTCCCGCTTCATCCCCCTCAAGTAGCCCGTTCGGCCAATAAAGACGCAGCCTTTTCTGGTCTCGAGTCTGACTGTTCCTTCCCTTCCGTGGGGCTGGGCCTGCTCACCAGTCGGAGGCTCAGGTGGTGCGTGATTTGGGCCCGTGCTGGGCAGCAGGTGGCCCTGGTTTCCTGCTGTGGACACAGGGATGGCCCCGCTTAACAGCAGGGCCCAGCGCTCTGTGGGTAGGGGCTCCGCATGAATGACCTCGGCCCCGTGACCAGTGCAGGTTCTGTGCGGTCTTGTCTGTGTCCCCTCTGTGCCTCTGGATCCTTCAACCGAAATCCCACAGGTGCAGCCACAGGCCTTCCCTGGGCCTGCTTCAGCCCATACAGGTGGTCACTGCTGGGTCCAGGGCAGTGTCTCCCCTGGAGCCACCATGCCCTTCAGGGCTCCTCCTCCCTTGTTGTCCGGTCCTGGGGGTGTGCGTGCCCACAGGTGAAGTCCACGACCAGCAGGAGGCTTTGCGCAGCCTGAACGCTCCCTTCCTGCGTCTGCACACGCCGGCCCGGTGACCCTCACGTGCTGTCTGTCCGGGTCTGGGTCTCATGTGGTTTCCAGGGGCAGGGTCACGCCAGCCCCTAGGGTCTGATGAAGGGTCCCAGCCCTGCTCCCCTCAAGTATTTTCTGTCGAGATTTGTTCCATGATGAGGAAGCCCTACAGACCAGGGTGGACGACTCCTCGGTAGGCAGTGGCCCCTTTGGCTCACTGATGGACAGTGTGGGGGGGATGGTCGAGGTGGGAACCCTGGTCAGCAGGAGAGTGTGAAGCTGGCTGGCTGCTGCATATGTGATGTGACAGTGGTCACAGTGTCTGCGCCTCTGTTGGGGCCTTGAGGGCCGGCCAGGAGGGGGAGGGAGGGAGGGAGCGGAATGGAAAGGCGCTCCTGCCTCCCTGCCCTCCCCCTGGCGGCCACTACCACCACCTCCGGGCTTCCTTCCTCTGCGTTTTGATTTGCTCGCTGTTCTCTCTTGGGTTGTGGGTGGCTGTGTTTATAATCCACAGCAGAAGGCAGTACGGGGAACGGCCGGACAGCTTGTGTGACCAGGTTAAACGGGTTCCCCCAGGTGGGCAGAAGGAACCAGTGTTGGGACCAGATGATCTGGAAGTACATCTGTGGCCTGTGTGGCACCATCCCTGATAAGGCAGCCCTGTCGCCCAGAAGACGTGGGCCGAGAATCTAAACAAGTGGTGGGTGTCTGGTGTGGCAGGAAGCAAGGCCACGGGAGGCTGCGTGGGCTGATGCGAGGGGCCTGGAGCTGCCGGTGGGGATGCTGATCGGGGCAAAGATCAGGGACTCGGGTGTCCTTTTGGACAGCCCCCTGAGCCTGGCCGCGCTGCAGAGAGGCCGACTCACCATGTGAAGCTGGAATATGACTGGGGTGTGTTAGATGGGACCTTAATTGAGGTGACTGGGTGCCTTGCAGTTTAAAGGCCGTGGTCAGAGCTGTCCACACTCCCTTCGTTTGGAACAGCAGAAGCCTCTCTGACCTCCGCTAGCAAACTGCCCACGAGGCCCAGCGAGAAGAGGGAGGGTTCGCTGTGTCATTCCTCAAAGAATAAAGCTGTTGGGTGTCTGGGTGGCTCAGTCAGTTGAGCATCGGACTCTTGATCTCAGGTCTGGGTCTCAGGGTTGTGAGTTCAGGTCCTGCACTGGGCATGAAGTCTACTTAAAAAACAGCTTTTAAGGCACGAGGCCTCCCTGGGGGAGCAAAGTGCACTTGCAGACCGTTGGCTGAGGACGGGAGAATCCCTGTTGCAGATGGTGGTGGGTGCCAACCAGGGCTCAGGCTCATGCACCCAGTGATGGGCAGACTTCAGGCCAAAGGGCTTGCCATCTGTTCTTGTAGGTAAACCTTTGTTGGCGTTCACTCCGCTGGCCCGTGCAGCCGAAGTTGGGCCTTTGTAACAGATTTTGTTCTACAAAAACCAGCAGGACCCTCCCGGACAGCAATACTGCCGTCACCCCCTTTAGGGCTTTGGAACCCTCACTGGAAGCTTCCAGCGCTGCCACCATGGGCCTGGGTGGGCTCAGGGAGGGAAGGATCAGCGATTACTGTTTTCTTTAATTGCAGTTTGAATTTCTATCAACCACTTACGTGTAATTGGGGGGCAATGCATATTAGTGTTACAAGTGAAAGCGATTGTGTCCCACTCAGACCGAAGTGCCCACCCCAGCCGTCAAGTGACACTCTCCAGAGCCCAGGCTGTGGGGTAGGGGCCTTAGTCATCGGGCTGTCTCACTACCGGGCCCCTCTAATGGCCCGAGGTTCGGGCTCTGCCTTCAGACCCCCCGTCACATCCCTGCCTTTGTTTCCTTCTGCGTCTGACGCTCTGGTCCAGCCCACTGGGTTGCAGCCCACATTCGCACCCACCTGTCGTCCCCAGTACCTCAGTCACACAGGCAGCCCCCACCCTGGTGCTGGGTTCCCCTCCCCCGCCCCAAGCCAACTGGGCCAGCTGCCTTCAGAGCCTGTCCCAGATCTGGCCAGGTCGCTATTTCTCACCTGTTGGTCAATTTGAAACAAGCAGGTATTCACCCCCTGACTTCCCCAGGCTCCAGAAAGCACCCCGAGTCCTGACTTGTTCTCACGTCCAGCCTTTCCTGCCGGACACCTACCCACTGGTTCATGGCACCTGCTTGCAGAGGCCAAGGCAGCGCCCCCTTTCTCTCGCCGCTTGTCCTTTGCTGTTCCAGGACTTAGCACAGTTCCTGAAAACGACCCTCCGCGACCCCTGCCCCCATCCCTCCCGGACTAACACAGTCCCCTCCTCCCTGGTCTCCCACTGCCACCAAAGGGCGCCGGTGAGCACCGCGTCCGGCGAGTCCCTGCTCTGCCCACCGCCCCCCAAGGCTCACAGGGGTCGTCACATGTTCCTGGGACCCTGCACACCCCCCCCCCCCCCCCCCGCCTCACACACACACACCTCCTCCCTTTGCGCTGGCTGTTACATGTGCCGGGATGCTGTTACTCGGGTCTATTAAGTGTCCTTCCCAGCAGCCTTCCACGCTCCCACCTCCCTGCTGTTTTCACCGCTCACCGCGGGCCAAGTTACTGTCCTCTTGGCGGCGGCCATTCCCTCTCTTCCCAGTGTGCTAGTTTCCCATGGGCATTCTGTTGCAACGACTGTTTACTGCACAAGGCCCGGCACACAGTAGGTGCTTAACAGAGGCTGCTTGAATGACTTGGACGGATGTCTGTCGACGTGTGGTGTGAGCCAACAAGTCCCATCACTGAGTCCGGCAAACTGGACGCGCACCGCAAATGTTTGCTGAATGACTAATGGATTGAGCGCGCAGCCGGAGCCTGGCTGCTGCGGGCCCACGATCCAGGCCGGCAGCCGATTGCGGCCACAGGGCGGCGCCTCCCTCCATCCTTGCGAGATCGCCATTCTCCTCGGGACCCCTCCCCGCTCTCCCTCGTCCCCCCTCCCCCGTCTGCTCACTCAGGTCCCCCTCCTCACACCGCCCACCCGAGTCCTCAGTCCCACGAGACGTCCTCCCCCCGCTCCTGCGAAGTCCCGCAGACCCGCTCGTCCGCTGCCTCCCGGAGGAGTCCCCGCCCGGCCCCGCGGTGCGAGCCCTCCCCGTAGTCGCTCCGCGCAGGCGCAGGGAGTCTCCGCCGAGCCTCCCCCCTACCCGAGCAGCTGAGGGCGGGGCGCAGGCTGGTCCGGGGCGGCCGCGGCTCCATGGGGCTCTTGGGGCTGCTGAGCCTGCTGCACTCAGCCTTCTTCGGGGACCAGGTAAGGCTTGGGGGGCACTCCGACACGCTCACGGGGCTGGACCGGTCTGGGGTCTCGCGCAGTCGCCGCGGAGACCGTTGCCAGGGCAACCGCTTCAGGCTGTGCTCCGGGGGGGGGGGGGGGGAACCCCTCCCCCGCGTCGCAGCGGATCCCCCCCACCCCGGGTCTGCGCAAGCGCAGCCTCGGAGAAAGACCCCCCCCTCCGGACCCCTCCCCACTGCGCGGACGCAGAGAGCAGCTGGGGCGGTGGGGACTGCGACGGGGGACCGTCTAGCTGAGGCTCCGTCCCGCACTGGCGGATAGGGGCTGGGCCACACCCTGCACCTCTTCGGGCCTCAGTTTCCCTTTCTGGGCTCCCAGCGCAGGGCCGACTCCGACCTTCACCGACGTTGAGGTTCACAATATGCATCCCACCGGGCCTGAGAGCTTTGCCGGCCTCCGTAATCGTTCTGAACCTCGGGGCTCTCACGTTCCCGATTTAACGGGAAACTGAGACTGGGGGCGCCGCGAGGAGCCCCAGCCTTCGTCCGGGTTGGAGCCTGAGCGCGGCGCGGAGGCGCCAGCAAAGGACCAGGCCCGGTGGCCGAGGGGAGCTGTCCGCGGTGCTGACAGGACGCTCTCTTGCCCTCTCCCTGCCCGGGAAACTGAGGCCCGGAAACCCGGCAGGGGATCCACCCCGGATCCGGTTTCGGGGGCACGGCGCCACCACTCCGTCATCTCCAGTAGTATTCCCTTTTCCATCAGGGCTCTGCTCCGTCACCCAGCCCGCGCCCCATCTCTGTGGTCGCATGACAACCTGGTGCCTCTCTGCTTCCCTCTCCCCCCACCCCAGCTCCGAGTTGGGGGCGGGGGGGGGGCACCCATGGTTCTGCCCGGAGCCCCTAGCACAGTGGATGGTCAGTGGAAGAGCGCGGGCCATCAAGTGGGAGGAGACACTGAGGTCAGGCTCAGAAGACTCAAAGGCCCTCTGAGTGACCCTGCTGTGCTGAGCCAGATGCTGGCATGGGGCGGGGGGGGGGGGGGGGGGGGGGGCGGGCAGGGGGAAGGGATGGTCTCAGGGTGAGGATGTGGATAAGCGAGCCCCACGATTCAGCTCTCCCCTTGAGAGCCCAGCAGCGGTAGGGAGCACCGAGGATCCCAGGGAGGGCGTCTGGGGAGGACCCCCACCCCCACCCCCAACTAGGCCTGGGCACTGTGCCTTGAGGGGCTCCTCATTCCCCCAAGACTGGGCTTGGGGTCCTGGGGTGCCGTGGGGTTTCCCGAGGCTCTGTGGTTCTCGGATTTCCAGTGATGCCTGAGTCTGACTGTGGCTCAAGAATTTAAAGGGTCAGGGATATTCGGGGATGAGGGGCAGGGTGCCAGAGATGTGGTGCTCCAGAGGCTTGGGGACAAGGGCATCTTGTCTTGTAGTCTCAGTGCCTTGCGCCCTCAGCCTTCTGGTCCCCAGGGAGGGGGAAGCCCAAGGCTGGGGAGGCTCACAAGTGTGCTCCCTGGCTTAAGCCTCAGTGTCCTCACACATACGAGGGCAAGGCTGGCCATTAGACCACTCAGACTGGCTGAGAGGGGTCTGGGGAGCAGCCACACCTGAGACTGGGTGGGGGGACGGGACTTCGTTCTGTGCAGGCAAGGATTCTCCAACCCACCTCCCAGTCAGCAAAACAGGAAACTGCGGCCAAACAGAGAGACGGCCAAGGTCACGGTGAAGCTGGGCCCTAGGCTCTGTCCTCTCCCTGCCCCCATTCCGACTCTGGCCAGTCTGCTGTGCTCTCGGTGCCCAGCTCGGACTGCCCCTGCTCCAAACCCCTGGTAGTGAGCTGGCGCGGCCAGACAGGGGACTGGCCGCTCAGCTCCAGGGACCGCACATGTCATCCCTTCAGCCCCCGGGGAATACCTTTCCCCTCCTTGCTTCCATAGCCAACTCTTACTCATCCGGGAGAGGCCAAGCACTGGTGTCCTTTTGCGCAGCCTTCCCAGCTTCCAGAAAGAGCCCCTCTGCCCCCCCACACCGCCTTCCCAGGGCCCACAGGCTGGGGACTGCTGCCTTTGGCTGTGGAGGCTCCAGGACTGCCAGGCCCCCTCTCAGGGCCCCCCCCCCCCCCCCCCCCCGGCAGTGCTAGCCCAGGGCGGGCACACGGGACCTCCTGCCGTAGACCCAACAGAACACAACGTGGTGTGTGTGCCCTTGGCTGCCTGCCTTGCACCAGCCCTTACAAAGGCTGCACCCCCCACCCCACTTTACCGGGGGGGGGGAAGGGAACAAGGTTCTCGAGGCAAACGTTTGCCACGGCCCCCCCTCCCCCAGCCAGGAAAGACGGAGGCAGGCCCCCTAAACCACGTCTCCTGGCCCAGAGCCTCCTTCCTCCTTGGGGCGTGCATGTGTCGGAGGCAGTAAAGACTGGCCCCAGCTGCAAAGTTCTGGCTCTGTGGACCCATCGAGGACCTGAGACAGCTGGGACCCCAGGCTTCTCCTTGGCCTTACCTTCTGTGAGGGTGAGATAGTGTAATGGGAGACAGAGACAGATTGAAAGAGACCGAGCGACATGGGGTGGACAGGGAGTCGCGGCAGACACCCCTGGAAGAGCTCTGTCAGGCGGGAGACAGAGGCGCCGGGGTCCCCAGCGCCTCTCAGCCTGCCCGCCCGTCCCCCACGCCCACCCCTTCATGCTGGCCGTGACCCCGCTGGCAGGGGGTGGGGAGTGCAGTCTGGATCCCGAGCCCTGCCCCGCCCTCACCCGTCGGCACGAGGCTCGGCTGGATCCGTCGGGAGGGGCTGGCCTCCCCCTTGCCCCCCCCCCCCCCAATTCTGATGTAACATCCGAGACCGCATGCTTTTTTTTTACTCTCAAATTCTCCGGATCCAGCCGCCGGAGGTTCTTGACCGCTTTACCCCGGAACGGGTGGAGGGCACAGGGTCCTCGTCCTCGGGGCGCCCCCCCCCCGCGCCCCGCAAGCCCTGCACACGCAGTCCCTGAACCCGCCCGGAGGCCCGACGTCCGGCTGCCGCCGCTGGTCCCCGCCCCGGGGCCGCCATTGGCTGTTGCCATGGCACCAGCCCGTCTTCCCGCGCCGCAATTGGCCGCCGCGCCCGCATCCCGCATCCCGCATCCTCCCCCGCGCGCGGTGGTCTCGCCCAGCTCCGGGAGCGGCGGCGCCGCCTGGCCAGGCCGGGACCGGGCTTTGTCCGCCCCAGAGCCCTCTGCCTGCGCCGCCGAGACCCCGGAGCCCCCGCCCCGCGGCGCCCCCGGCAGCCCGGCCCAGCCCGAGATAGAGTAAGCGCCTCCCCGGGTGGAGGGCAGGGGGCGCGTCCTCCGCCTCAGCCGGGGGCGGGGGGGTGGGGGGGTGGGGGTCGGGGGTGTCGCCATCCCCTTCTCTCTGCTTCACCTGTCAGCACGCGCCTCGTTTCTCCAGGGTGGAGCCAGAAAGGGAAACTGAGAACCAGGGAGGTTGGGCCCCTGCGTCGCTGCTGCCCGGCCCACGCACACACCCACCCACGGGGTTCCACACTCGGACCTCCCAGTCTGCAGGCAGGCCTGCTGTGTGCTTGGGGGGTAGTGCTCCTCCTCCTTGGACATCAGGCTCCTTCTCTGTAACGTGGGGTTTGAAGGAGGGGCCCCTTTGGGCCACATCTGCCGTCCTCCCCTGAAATGTGGCCACTCACGGCTCAACCAGGGGAACTGCCAGCTATTGGTGCCTTCCCTTCTGCAATGGAGATCTCTCGGGGAGGCTCCCAGGAGTCCCCTGACGCAGCCTGGGGATGAAGTCCAGGCAGGAGGGCTTCCTGGAGGAAGCTGCACCTTGAAGGGTGGCAGGAGTCAGGAAAGGTGCTCCAGGCAGAAAACTGCACGTGCAGAGGCCTGGGGAAGGACACTGCAGCGTGGCTGCTGGGTGTCAGCGAGGCAGGGTGCATGTGGAGGAATTGGCTCTTGTCTTGAGGGCACTGGGGAGCCATGGGCGGTACTGGCGCGAGGGAGGGATGGAATCCAATCGTGACTTTCAAAGCTTCCTTTTGGCTTTCCGTGAGAGTGGACTGTGGGAGGCCAGCGAGGCTGCCCTGATGGAAAGGGTGTGGGGGCCTGGGGGAGAGGGGGCCTGGCTGGGCAAAGCTTGAGGGGCTGGTGGGAGTGTGGAGTTGGGGAGGCCAGGCTGGAATGAGGGGAGTCTGGTGGGTGGCCCTACCGCCAAGCTCAGCGCGATGAGGACACAGCAGTGACCACCAGGCGTCGGGGGAGTGAAGGTGTCCCAGGCTTAGCCTGGAACATCCAAGACGAGGGAAACCTGGTGTGTGTGTGGGGGGGGGGGGGGGGGGCGCCCCGCCCTGGGTGGGGCTCCAGGAGCCGGCCTGGGTTTAGGGAGTGGGAGGGACACTCAACAGGGTCCTACACCACCTAGAGCTTCCCTGAGGCTGTGCTGGGCGTGGCAGCCGGACCCCAGCAGTCTTGCCACAGCCCCTGGCCTGAGTCCCAGCTGGGAGCTCCCCGCCCCACCCCAGCCTCGGGCAGGGTCGATATTGGGGTGGGAGGCAAAGGCCCTCGGCCTTCCCTACCTGACACATTTGCTCCCACTTGACTGTCCTGTCTGCCCTCCCACCGACCCGCAGAGCCGAGTTCTTCTCAACCCTCACATGGGCAAAGCGAGGCCCGCAGAGGCCAGAAAGCACTGCCTGGACTTCTGAGTCCTCCCAGTGTCGGGTCCCGGTCGTGCCTTGCCGGCCTTGCCTGTTTCTTCCTCTGAGCACAGCCCAGTGGCGGTCCCTGAGGCTCGGGACTGTGGCCAGCGAGCCAGATGACGGGTCAGGCATACAGCAGGTCCTCCCAAAGGGTCAGGATGGCCCAAGCCCATCACCCCACGCTTATTCCAGGCCCAGCGAGCCCTTGGTGGTCCCAGGGTGGGTGGGGTGGGGAGGGTTCTGGGGGCAGGAGCAGAGGGAGCACAGTGAGTGACGGGGCACGTGAATGAGTGCATGTGGCCAGGCTGGGGGGCGGAGAGCAAGTGCCTCCCTGTGGGCTGGGGAGGGCGGGCTGATCTGGGGAGGGGCTCCGGGGAGGAGGTGGAGGAGACCACGGCCTGCCACTGGTGCGCCTCAGACAAAGGCGGAGGGAGGGGGCGCGAGCCGATGGGAAGGGAACAAAGAGGGAAGGGGGGTGGGGAGGAGGTGGGACAGCTCCGGGGAGGGCCAAGCCCAGAGAGGAGGAGCTGCCAGCCAGCTGGACCGAGGAGGCTGGGCCAGAGTGAGGACAGCCACACACAAAGAAGCGGGTGGCAGTGGGAGAGCCCGGGGGCTGGCGCAGGGCTGCCGGGAGGGGAGCCGGGCCAGGCAGGTGGCTGCTGGGCTCCAGCTGTTGGTGGAGGGGGTGTGGGGGTGGCGGGGGCTGACCGTGGTGGGCTTGGGTCTGCCGGCCCGGCTGCCCAGCTCCGGGCGCCCCACCATCACCTGGCCCTGGCTCTCTGAGCCGTGTTCTTGGCCTCCACAGCAGTTCTAGCGTCCTGGGCTGGGCCCGCTGGCGGTCTGCCCACCACACCTCGGGGCAGCTGCGTTGCTGTGGGAGAGGGCCTCGGATGTCCGTGTGTCTGTCTCGCTGCCCGCCTGTGTGTCTGGGAGCCCGGCAGTGAGGGTGGACAGGTACTCGTGTCTGCTGGCCACCTGGGCGGTGGGGCTGCGTGTCTCCACGTCCACCCCGGGGCTCTGCCCCTCTGCCTCCCATTGGCCCTGCCCGTGCCTGTCCTCCGGGACGCCAGAGTTCTGCCTGCAGCGGTCCACACCTGGCGCTCCCGCTGGGATTCATCCCCAAGATCAGATGGGAGAGCTGGGGCTTAGATCAGGGCACTCTCCCTAGACCCCTGGGTGAACCCGCTGACCTGTGGCCCCAGGCGCTGCAGGAGCTGAAGATGACGAGCTCCGTGGCGCCCTACGAGCAGCTGGTGCGGCAGGTGGAGGCCTTGAAGGCCGAGAACAGTCACCTGAGGCAGGAGCTGCGAGACAACTCGAGCCACCTGTCCAAGCTAGAGACGGAGACGTCCGGCATGAAGGTGAGGGTGGGGCTGGGCAGAGGCCTCGGGCCGCCCTTCCAGGGACAGACGCCGGGGTGCTGGACCCAGAGACCCACAGGCCAGCCCAGGGCAGCAGGCTCACGCTGCCGGACACCCTCTCCCGCCCCCACCTTAGGAGGTCCTGAAGCACTTACAAGGCAAGCTGGAGCAGGAGGCCGGAGTGCTGGTGTCCTTGGGGCAGACGGAGGTGCTGGAACAGCTGAAAGGTGAGGGGCCCACGGGGGGGCAATCCCCAGCTTGCCCCCAGAGGTTGCTGGGAGGAGGGGCGGGAAGGGGCACTGACCTTGCCTTCTCCCTCCGCGCCCATGCAGCCCTGCAGATGGACATCACCAGCCTGTACAACCTCAAGTTCCAGCCCCCAGCCCTAGGTCCTGAGCCCACTGGCCGGACCCCCGAAGGAAGTCCAGTACACGGCTCCGGGCCTTCTAAGGACAGCTTTGGGGAGCTGAGCCGGGCGACCATCCGGCTGCTGGAGGAACTGGACCGGGAGAGGTGAGATGGCAGGTGGCGGGACCTGGCCGCTGGAAGCTGTCACGTAGCTCCGCCCCCAGCCGGCTCCGCCCCAGCACCTCTGCCCGCTGATTGGCCCACCGGCACGCGTTCCACCCACCTCCTGAGTCGGCCTTGCCCACGCCCACTCCACGAGGCTCCAGTGGACCTCAGCTGGAGGACGAAGAGGAAGGGGGAGTCCCTGGCACAGGGCAAGGCTCCTGGGAGATGTCCCCTCGGGTGCCCAGCACGCAGGCTTCGCGAGGGACAGGGCTGTGTCCATTGCCAGGGTCAGGACTGGAGCCAGATGGGCTCAAGGCAGCCTTTGTGCAGAGAGGGCTGTGGCCCAAGAAACCTGGGCCGGGGGCCAGCAGAGGAAAGCAGGGTCTGGGCGCCCAGCTCGGCTCGGCCGGGTTGTGTGGGGTGGGATGCGGCAGTGCAAGAGCGGCTTGGAGTTGAGGCCATGCTGTGCTGTGGGACCTCAGGCCAGTCTCCTCAGCCCTCCCAGCCCCAGGCTTCCGCTCTGTAGTTCTATGTAACAAAATTATTTAAAGTCAATAAATTTTTATTTGAAGAAAAAAAAAAAAAAAAAAAGAAAAAGAAAAGACCCTGAGCCTGAACGTGGAGCTCTGTAAAACGGGAATGGCAGCATCGCCCCCCACAGGGTTAACAGGGAGCCTGTTGCGCCCGGAGCAATCTGAGCCTGACGTGGTCTTTGGAGGCTAGAGGGAGATGAGCAAGCGTGGGAGAGGTGTTAGCACAGCCCCCTCGGGGTCTTTCTCTGGGGACCACAACTTATAAAGTTGAATCGATTTTCTGCACCCCACCCCAGTCCCGGGAGCGCCAAGGGCGAGACTTTGCCACGCCGTTCAACTTGGCACACAGCGCCCAACAAGTGATCACACAAATCAAAATAAACAACGCATGCAGGACGGCTCCCGCCCTGCGAGCCTGCGCCCACCGACTGCCCGCCCCCTCCCCAGGTGCTTCCTGTTGAACGAGATCGAGAAGGAGGAGAAGGAGAAGCTCTGGTATTACTCACAGCTGCAGGGCCTGTCCAAGCGCCTGGACGAGCTCCCGCACGTGGAGACGGTGAGCGCGCGGGGGACGGCGCGGGGGGAAGGGGCTCGGGCCCGGGCGCCCCCTCACCGCGGCCCGCCCGCCCCTCCCAGCAGTTCTCGATGCAGATGGACCTGATCCGGCAGCAGCTGGAGTTCGAGGCCCAGCACATCCGCTCGCTGATGGAAGAACGCTTCGGCACCTCGGACGAGATGGTGCAGCGCGCGCAGGTGAGGCGGCGGGCGGGACGGGGCGCTGGAGGCTCTTCCGGGGAAGAGCGCGTCACTGGGCGGAGCGCAGGGACTGCTGTGGGAGGGGTCTGGATCGGGAGGCGGAGCCGGGGGGGGGTAGAGCCCTTTGTGGGTGGGGCCAGAGGGAGCGAAGGGCGGAGCCGGGCTCCGAGGGCAGGGTCCGAGAACTGTGGGGGGTAGGGGACGGTCAGTGGGCGGAACCGAGTGTGAGCCAGCCCTGGGCCGCGGTCCGTGGGCCGGACGAGATCAGGGAGTGGGCGGGTCCGGAAGGGTGGGGCGGGGTCAAGCAAGAGAGTGGGTGGAGCCAGCGCCTGGGTGGGGCCGGGTTGTGGGCGGAGTCAGATACTGCAGCGAGGGTGTTTAGGGTGGGCGGGACCATATAGAGGGATGGGGGTGGGGCCGGGGTGGGGCCGAAGCAGAATGCCGACGGAGAAGTGGGTGGGGTCATACAGGAGTGGGCGGAGTCAGACCCGGGGGCGGGGTCAGCCCCAGCGCGCCTCTTTCTCTTGGCTCAGATCCGCGCTTCTCGCTTGGAGCAAATCGATCAGGAGCTGCTGTCCGCACAGGACCGGGTGCAACAGACAGAGCCCCAGGTACTGGGAGGGGTGGCGCCAGGGTCCTGGGGTGGTGACGGGTCTAGGCAGTGAAGAGACCGCTAGGGCTCTGCCCGGTCCAGGAATGGGCCTGCAGCCCCCACCCACATCGTCACGGGGGTTGGCAGCCTGGGCGCTTTGTGGGGTGCTCCCCAACAGAGCCCCCAGGCCTGGCGTTCTCCGCACAGGCCCTGCTGGCGGTGAAGTCGGTGCCGGTGGACGAGGATCCAGAGACTGAAGTCCCCACACACCCGGAGGATGGTGTCCCTCAGCCCGGCAACAGCAAGGTGAGGGGGCGTCCAGGTTTGTGGGGGAGGAGGCCGGTGGGTTGAGGCAAGGGGTGCAGATGGCCAGCTGGGTGGAGGTGCATGGTGACCTGGGTCCTGCCTCTCTGTCCGATGTGGGGGGCCTTCCCTCCGCCGTCTCCATAAAGCGGCCCCAGGTGTGGAAGGGCCACCCTGGGGTGGGGTGTGTGCTGAGGCTGGCAGGGCCAGGACGTGGGTGGGGACAGCTGTCCTGTGTGTTGGGACGGCACCCTAGACTTAGAGGTAGGAGGTCACCCACGGGAGTACCCCGTGAGGACGACAGTCAACCTGGCCCTCCTCAACCGGGGGCGCCCCAGTGCCCTCCCCAGGTGTGTGCCACTGCCCGCAGGAAGATGCAGGGTGAGGGTGTCGGGGGTGAGCAAGTGACGGTCCTGGGCTGGGGTCCCAAGACGCTCACTGTGTCTGGGCGGCCCACCGGGGGTTCAGGGACTGGCTGGGGCCAGGTGAGCCGGCCGTGGCTCACCGCCCCCCTTGACCCCCGTCCGCTGCCCCTCGTAGGTGGAGGTGGTCTTCTGGCTGCTGTCCATGCTGGCAACGCGTGACCAGGAGGACACGGCGCGCACCCTGCTGGCCATGTCCAGCTCGCCGGAGAGCTGCGTGGCCATGCGCCGCTCGGGGTGCCTGCCGCTGCTGCTGCAGATCCTGCACGGCACCGAGGCCGGCGCTGGGGGTCGCGACGGAAGCCCCGGGGCGACGGGCGCCAAGGACGCACGCATGCGCGCCAACGCGGCGCTGCACAACATCGTCTTCTCGCAACCTGACCAGGGCCTGGCGCGCAAGGAGATGCGCGTCCTGCACGTGCTGGAGCAGATCCGGGCCTATTGTGAGACCTGCTGGGACTGGCTGCAGGCCAGGGACGGCGCCGAGGGAAGCGGCGCCAGCGGCGGTGAGCCAGCGAGGGGGGGCCGCCGCCGGGCCCCTTCTCGGTGGCCTGCGCCGGCGAGGCTTGTGGGAATGTTGTCTGGGCGGATGGGCACAGGGGTGGCCCCCGACACCTGATGACACGGGGTGGGTGCTCAGGAAACCGCCGCCGAATGCAGGGATAGGTCGTGGGTCCCCAGAGAACAGAGTGTGAGGTTCCCGGTGTTTGCAGCTGATTGCAGTTACCTTATGACAAAAGCCGCAGGCGTCACCTCCCCTCCCTGGGCCGTCCTGGCTGAGGCGGCACCCCCTGCGTGGGTTGGCGGGAGGCGTGGGAAGGAGCCCCAGCGCTCTGCGAGCCCAGCGTGCAGCCCTTTGAAAAGGCCTGGGGTCTCCGCAGGGATGCAGAAGGCAGGGCGGGGCGGGCACCCACCGGCAGTGGGAGGGCACTGACCTGGTCCCCTGGCCCCCAGCTCCAGTCCCCATCGAGCCCCAGATCTGCCAGGCCACCTGTGCCGTGATGAAGCTGTCTTTTGACGAGGAATACCGCCGAGCCATGAACGAGCTGGGTGAGTGCCCCCTCGCCTCCCGCAGGAGGGCCCCGATGCCTCGGTGTTTCGTGGAGGGGCTGGGGACGGGGGGTGGGGGTGGGGGGCTCGACCTTGTGAAGTTTCAGGTTTGGGGGCGTTACGAGTATCCTCTTTTTCCATATAAAAGTCATCAAAGCACGGAAAAAAGAAATAGCAAAGGCCAAAGTTCGCATCCATATGCTGAGTTTGGCTGTAAGAGTTACAAAACACACGGCTTCTCACCCAGCCGGTGGTCAGAGCGCCCCAAGGTTGGGTCGGGTCCGTGTGGTTTGGCTGCGTGGAGGGGGGAGCACGTGGTGAGGGGCTTTGGCACCAGCGGGTTCTTTAGGAGTGTGCACACCTTTGGGGCACCCCTGCGCCCCGTGGCCGGATTGACAAAGTAAGACACACAGAAATAGGAAGGCAGGCGGGCAGCAAGCAACCCGTGGGACCCCCCCCCCCCCCCCCGCCGATCCGGAAACGGCCTGTGTCCAACAGTAAGTCCTGTTGTCGTGTAAGTCCTCGTGTCGTCCGGGGAAAGTGGAGGAGGTGGTAAGGTCTCTTCTCTACACAATGCACGTGCACACACGTGCCCAGAATGCAGTGTAGACAGGAGAACGGAGTGGCCCTGGGCTCCACTTCCCCCAGCCGATGCCAGGCAGGAAAAGGAGGATTTCAGTTTTCATTGTCTCCTTCTGACCGTGAACGTTTGTACTACGAACAGGTGGGATTTCATATAAAACTGGTTCTCAGAGTGTGGCCCACAGGGACCCCTGGGGGTTCCTGAGATCCTTCTCGGAGGTCAAGGTCGCGATTGTTTTTGCCTTTGCCACCCCCGTTTTTTCTCGTGCGTGCGTGTGTTCAGTGGGGTTTCCAGATGCTCCTACTCTGAGGACCACTGGGCTGTAATTTTTGAGAGAGAGACAGAGACAGAGCGAGACAGAGACAGAGCGTGAGCAGGGGAGGGGCAGAGAGAGGGAGACGTGGAATCCGAAGCAGGCCCCAGGCTCTGAGCCGTCAGCACAGAACCCGACACAGGGCTCGAACCCACAAACTGTGAGATCATGACCTGAGTCAAAATCGGACCCTTAACCGACTGAGCTCCACAGGCTCCCCAAACGCTTCATTTTAATTTCTAGCATGGAACAGCTTTCACCCACAAGAACAGAATCTCTCTGGGGGTCCTCAGAAAAGTTCAGAGGATACAGGGGTCCGAGGCCAAAACACTTGCATGCCGCTGTTGTCCGCCGAGGCCCCCTAGCAGGGGGGTCCCCCACTCCCAGCACAAGCACCCCACCCACGGCCGAGTTCACAGTCCTTTCTCCCTCCTCCTGTTTGCTTCTGTCCTGCGGGTTTCCAGCAGTGGAGAACTCCACGTTATGGAGCATTGAAGGCCTGAGAAGTGTCCCCTGTAATAACTTACAATTACGCATCACGAATTTTTTAGGGGCGTCAGGCCAGCTCCATTGGAAAAGCGCGTGACTCTTCATCTCAGGGTTGTGAGTTCGAGCCCCACATCGGGTGTGGAGCCTACTTAAGAAAGTTAAATTGTGGTAACATACACACAGCCTAAAATTCACCATCGTAACCGTCTCTAAGCGCACAGCTCGGCGGCGTCAGGCACTCATGCTGTCCTGCACCCGCCCCCGCCACCCGTCTCCAGAACTTTCCATCTCCCCGGACCGAGACTCTGTCCCATGAAACACTGAGTCCCCTCCCCTGGCTCCCACCGTCTACTCTCTCTGTCTCTGTGGACGGGACTCCTCTGGGGACCCCCTGTGCGTGGGGTCACGGGACGTGTCCTCCCGTGTCTGCCTTCTATCACACAAGTAAACTCGGGCAGAATGTCTCCAAGGTGTGCCCACAAGGTGTGGCGGCAGGTGGCAGGGCTCCCGGTCACAGTTGAGCACCGCTGCCCCAGTGGCGGGACACACTGTGGTCTCTGGTTGGTCCCCTGGCGGACACCCGGGTTGTTGTGACCGTGGCGCGTGGCCTGTTGACGTCGGGGTGTTCAGGTGCACTCTGGCCGGTGACGTCCCCAGAGGGTGCCCGGCCGGCCTGCCCCGGGCCCGGGGATGAGCACGTTGCCTCCGGCACGTTTGCCGCGTGAAGAGGGAGAAGCTTCTTGAGTCTGTGCCGCGCCTGCCCCTTCTCTGCCTGCCGCCGTCTCTCCCGGGCCGGTCTTCCCAGGGCCGTCCGCCCGTCCCTACGCTGGGCACGCTGGCCCCCCGCCGGTGGCTCCTGGGCTCGCGCCGTGCAGACCCTGCCCTCAGTGGCTCCTGCTCTGATGGTCCTGAGGGAATTCTCACGTGGGGTGCTGGAGGGCGTCCTTGAGAAAGCAGCGCCGTGACTCTGGCGCTGGGAGTACAGGCAGGAGTCTGGGCAAATAGGGAAGAGCGTTCGGGCCGAGGGAACAGCTGTGCGAAGAAGGCCCGGTACTGGGGCAGAACCCTCGGAGCCGGCTGCACAGGGAGACCTGCCGAGGGCGGGGGTGGGGCGGGAAGGGGCCGAGGGCGTCCGGGCAGGGGGCGCTCACAGACCGAGGCCAGGCGGGGCAGAGGGCAGGCGGGCTGTGGGGGCGGGGGCGGGGCTCACCACCTGTCCGGGCCGCACCGTGCCCCCTCCGCACCCCTGCAGGTGGGCTGCAGGCCGTGGCAGAGTTACTGCAAGTTGACTACGAGATGCACAGAATGACCCGGGACCCGCTGAACCTCGCCCTCCGTCGATACGCCGGCATGACCCTCACCAACCTCACCTTCGGAGACGTGGCCAACAAGGTGCCTGGGGCTGGCCAGAGGGCGGGCAGGGTCAGCGCGCTCCAGGCCCGGGCCTGCCTCGACCTCGTGCCAGCCTTGAAACGGTCCTGAGGGGGGAGACAGTTGTCCCCGACTTCCAGGCGGAGGCCCAGAAGGCTGGTGTCCGAACGTGGCCACCGGGGCCGCCACGCTCGGGGCTGGGGGAGGCTGGGTGGCGTCGGCGCCGCCCTGAGCCTCTTTCCTCCTTGGAGCCGCTGGGTGAGGAGGGAAGGGGCTCGGGCCCTTGCACACAGCAGGTCTACCTCTCGCCCCCCCCCTTCCCCCGCCCGCTGTGGCGCGACTTTCCTCCGTCACGTCAACAGGCCGCACTGTGTGCCCGCCGGGGCTGCATGGAGGCCATCGTGGCCCAGCTGGCTTCTGAGAGCGAGGAGCTGCACCAGGTGCGGGGGCGGGGGGCAGCGTGGCGGGGTGGTGGGGGTGGTGGGGGGAGGCCCACAGGGCGGCTCACCGCCCGAGGCCTTTCTGCCGGCCAAGTCCTCTCTCCTCTGGGTGTGACGGGGCTCCCGTGGTGGGCGCCCCCGCCTGGCGCAGGGGTGAGGACGCGATTGCGGCCGCCCGGGGAGCCGGGGCCCCAGGTCCACCGCGCCTGCTCCGTCCCGCCCCGCCCCAGGTTGTGTCCAGCATCCTGCGCAACCTGTCCTGGCGGGCCGACATCCACAGCAAGAAGGTGCTGCGGGAGGTGGGCAGCATGACCGCCCTGATGCGGTGCGTCCTTCGAGCCTCCAAGGTGGGCACGGGGGCGGGGACGCGCACGGGCGTGGGGGGGGCGGGGACGCGCACGGGCGTGGGGTGGGCCCGGCCGGACCGAGCGCTGCCGAGCGGGTGGCCCGGCCGTGGGGCCACCGGCCCCGCGTCTCAGAACCCCGTGACGGTCAACGTGATTGCTTCTCGCTCGCACTCGAAGGCGTGTCTGGGTGCCAGCGTTGGGTCTGCAGCTCGATGGGGTGGGGGAGAGGCGGGTGCGCCGGGCTCGCTGGGCCCCCACCAATCACCCCCCACCCCCCGCCCCGCTCGGCGCCCAGGAGTCCACCCTGAAGAGTGTGCTCAGCGCCCTGTGGAACCTGTCGGCGCACAGCACGGAGAACAAGGCGGCCATCTGCCAGGTGGACGGCGCCCTGGGCTTCCTGGTGAGGACACTGACCTACAAGTGCCAGAGCAACTCGCTGGCCGTCATCGAGAGTGGCGGCGGCATCCTGCGCAACGTGTCCAGCCTCATCGCCACGCGGGAGGACTACAGGTCGCCCCCCCTCCCCCCGCCGGGGCTCTGGGACGGGTGGGGGGGGGGCACTGGGGGAAGCTGGGCCCCAGCTGGGCCCCAGGCGCAGACTGGGGTGGGGCTGGCAGATCCCACTCTGCGGGAACCGAGGACAAGCCCTGATTGTGCTGTGAATGAACGGTCCCGATTTGTCCCTGGAGACTTTTTTTTTAACATAAGTATACCCCAAATTTTGTGTGGGGTGTACTCGTATAATCAACGTTTAGTTAACTTATTAAAATGAAAACATGGGGGCACCTGGGTGGCTCAGTCATTTAAGCGTCTGACTCTTAATCTGGGCTCAGGTCGTGATCTCACAGTTCGGGAAATCGAGCCCCACATCGGGCTCTGTGCTGAGCACGGCGCCTGCTTGGGGTTCCCCGTCTCTCTCTGCCCCTTCCCTGTGCGCACGCATACAGGTGCTCTCTCAAAATAAACATTCCAAACTAAAATAAAACGTATTATTTTTCAGATAATGTTAATAAATACTTGTTCTCTATTACAATCTTTACTAAGTAATATTAAAACCTGTTTTTAAAATACTTATTAATTTTGCAAGAGAGAGAAAGTGCAAGCAGGGGAGAGGCAGAGAGGGAGAGAGACAGCATTCCAACCAAGCTCCGCACCGACAGCACACAGCCCAACGTGGGACTCAAACCCACGAATATGAGACCATGACCCAAGCTGAGAGCAAGGCTCGGATGCTTAACCGACTGAGCCACACAGGCGCCCCGATGCTCGTTCTTTATAAAAATAAAGTATTGTTTATTGGATGATAATCAGTAATGTTTTTAATGTAAGAAAACACAAAACACTTGTTTTCAATATAAGTATATCCCAAATATTGCATGGGCTCTACTTGTGCTAAAGATTTTATTTATTAAATCAATAAAACACTTATTTACTAGGTAATACTAATCATTAACAATGCTTAGGGTTTTTTTTCTTAAAAGATTTTATTTTTAAGTAGTCTCTACACCCGGTATGAGGCTCAGACTCACCATGCTGAGCCAGCCAGGCACTCTGATACTTTTAAAAACAGATAAAACTTATCTTCAGCATAAGTATACCCCAAATATCATGAGATGTAGTTGTGCTAAAATGAGGTAAAGTCAAACTGAAGTTCACTTTAAAAAAAGTATTTTTTTAAATGTCTACTTATTTATTTTTTAAATGTTATTTTTTTAAATATCCATTCATTTTTGAAAGACAGAGAGAGAGCACAGGCAGGGGTGCGGCAGAGAGAGAGGGGGGGGACACAGAATCCGAAGCAGGCCCCAGGCTCTGAACTGTCAGCACAGAGCCCGATGTGGGGCTCGAACCCACGAACTGTGAGACCATGACCCAGGCTGAAGTCGGATGCTTAACCGACTGGGCCACCCGGGTGCCCCTCTATTTATTTATTTTGAGGGAGTGCATGTGAGCAGGGAGGGGCAGAGAGAGAGAATCCCAAGAAGGCTCCGTGCTACCAGCGCAGAGCCCGACCCTGGGTTCGAACCCATGAAACGTGAGATCGTGACCTGAGCCAAAATCAACTGTCGGACACCTAACTGACCGAGCCCCCCCTGCGCCCCTAGAAGAAAGTATTATCATTTCACTATGTGATGTCGCACCACGTATTTATTCGGTGTTCTGAAACGCAAAGTCGCCTGGGGAGCCCCGGACTCGTATTTGCGGGGGCGGGGGTGGGAGTGGCAGGCGCTGGGCGCAGGCCTGACGCCCCCTCGTGCCGCAGGCAGGTGCTGCGGGACCACAACTGTCTGCAGACGCTGCTGCAGCACCTGACGTCCCACAGCCTGACCATCGTGAGCAACGCGTGCGGCACGCTCTGGAACCTGTCGGCCCGCAGCCCGCGCGACCAGGAGCTGCTGTGGGACCTGGGGGCCGTGGGCATGCTGCGGAACCTGGTGCACTCCAAGCACAAGATGATCGCCATGGGCAGCGCCGCGGCCCTGCGCAACCTGCTGGCCCACCGGCCCGCCAAGTACCAGGCGACGGCCACCGCCGTGTCCCCCGGCGCGTGCGCACCCAGTCTGTACGTGAGGAAGCAGCGGGCGCTGGAGGCCGAGCTGGACACGCGACATCTGGCCCAGGCGCTCGACCACCTGGAGAAGCAGGGCCTGCCCGAGGCCGAGGCCGAGGCCGCCTCCAAGAAGCCGCTGCCGCCCCTGCGGCACCTGGACGGGCTGGCCCGGGACTACGCCTCCGACTCCGGCTGCTTCGACGACGACGAGGCGCCCTCCCTGGCCGCCGCCGCCTCGACCGCCGAGCCCGCCAGCCCCGCCGTGCTGTCCCTCTTCCTGGGCAGCCCCTTCCTGCAGGGACAGGCTCTGGCCCGCGCCCCGCCCGCCCGCCGCAGCGGCCCGGAGGCGGAGAAGGAGGCCGGCGGGGAGGCGGCCGTGGCGGCCAGGGCCAAGGCCAAGCTGGCGCTGGCGGTGGCGCGGATCGACCGGCTGGTGGAGGACATCTCAGCCCTGCACACCTCGTCCGACGACAGCTTCAGCCTCAGCTCCGGGGACCCCGGGCAGGAGGCCCCGCGGGAGGGCCGCGCCCAGTCCTGCTCCCCTTGCCGGCGGCCGGAGGGCAGGCGGCAGGAGGCCGGCGGCCGGGCCCACCCGCTGCTGCGGCTCCAGGCCGCCCACGCCAGCCTGTCCAACGACAGCCTCAACAGCGGCAGCAGCGCCTGTGACGGGCGCTGCCCCCGCGAGCACACGAGGCCCTGCCCGCTGGCCGTGCTGGCCGAGCACCACGAGGGGGCCCCGTGCAGCCAGGCGCGGCCCAGCCGGCTGGACCTCAGCCTGCCGGGCGGCCGGGAGCCGGCCGGGAGGGACGGCTCTGCGGCCGACGCCTGCGTGCGCACCATCAAGCTCTCGCCCACCTACCAGCACGTGCCGCTCTTCGAGGGCCACCCCAGGGCGGGGGCGGGGCCCCTGGCCGCCGGGGCCCGGAAGCAGGCCTGGCTGCCCACGGAGGGCCTGAGCCAGCTGCCCGAGAAGCCGGCGGCAGAGACGGCGCCCCTCCGCCTGTCCCGCTGCAGCTCTCTGTCCTCGCTGTCCTCGGCCGGCCGCCCCGGCCCCAGTGAGGCCGGGGACCTGGACAGCGACTCGTCCCTGGAGGCACTGGAGGAGGCGGGACCCGGCAAGGCGGCCCTGGACGGAGCCTGGCTCGGGCCTGGGGCCGCCTCCCTGCCGGTGGCCGTCCCGGCGCCGCACCGGGGCCGCGGCCTGGGGGCGGAGGACACCACGCCGTCCAGCTCCTCCGAGAACTGCGTGCAGGAGACGCCGCTGGTGCTGAGCCGCTGCAGCTCCGTGAGCTCCCTGAGCAGTTTCGAGAGCCCGTCCATCGCCAGCTCCGTCCCCAGCGACCCGTGCAGCGGGCTGGGCAGCGGCACGGTCAGCCCCAGCGAGCTGCCCGACAGCCCCGGGCAGACCATGCCGCCCAGCCGCAGCAAGACGCCCCCGCTGGCCCCTGCGCCCCCCGGCGAGCGCGAGAGCACCGAGTTCAGTTTGCAGTGGGAGAGCTACGTGAAGCGATTCCTGGACATCGCCGACCGCCGGGAGCGCTGCCGGCTGCCGTCGGAGCTCGACGCCGGCAGCGTCCGCTTCACGGTGGAGAAGCCGGACGAGAACTTCTCGTGCGCCTCGAGCCTCAGCGCGCTGGCCCTGCACGAGCACTACGTGCAGAAGGATGTGGAGCTGCGGCTGCTGCCCCCCGCCTGCCCGGATCGCGGCGGCGGCCCCGGCCCCGGCCCGCACCTCGCGGGGCACCGCCGGCGGGACGAGGCCGCTGGGTGCCTGGAGGGGCCGGCAGCCGCCGACCAGGAGCTGCAGCTGCTGCGCGAGTGCCTGGGGGCAGCCGTGCCCGCCCGGCTCCGCAAGGTGGCCTCGGCCCTGGTGCCCGGCCGCCGCGCGCTGCCCGTGCCCGTGTACATGCTGGTGCCCGCCCCCGCCCGGGGGGATGACTCACGCACCGACTCGGCCGAGGGCACACCGGTCACCTTCTCCAGTGCCACCTCGCTCAGCGACGAGACGCTGCAGGGACCTCCCAGGGACCCACCCGCCGGGCAGGCAGCCGGCCGGAAGACCGCAGGTCGGGAGGCCACCGCCAGGCAGGCCACCGGGCACCGCCACGGGGCGTGGGGCGGGGGCCGGAGCGCAGAGCAGGCCCGGGGGGCGGGCACGAGCCGGGCGGGGCTGGAGCTGCCCCTCCGCCAGCCCTCGAGCGCCTGCACGGACAGGGACGGCCCCCGCCCGGGCCAGGCACGTGGGGACGGGGCACCGCAGTCGCTGTGCCTCACGACGCCCACCGAGGAGGCCGTGTACTGCTTCTACGACAACGACTCCGATGAAGAGCCGTCCGAGGCGGTGGCGCCCCCGCGGCGGGCGTCCGCCATCCCCCGTGCCGTGAAGAGAGAGCACCCGGCCGGCAGGAAGGACGCGCAGGCCACACCCAAGGCCGCGGCCAAGGCCCCGCCCGCTGCCCGCGCCCAGCCCAGCCTCATCGCCGACGAGACCCCGCCATGCTATTCCCTGAGCTCCTCCGCCAGCTCCCTCAGCGAGCCTGAGCCCCCTGAGCAGCCGGCCAGCCGGCCCCGTGCTCCCGAGCCGGCCGTCGCCAAAGTCGCGGGCCCGGGGGGCGGGTGCAGCGGCGCCCCCAGCCCGCGGGCGGGGACGGGGCCGGGGCCGGGGCCGCTCCG